ACTAAGATTTCTAGTTTTGCCAACAGAAGAATAGGCATGCTACCTGGGGAGGGAACCTCAAAGATGTCTGGAAGATGGGGCTGAAGATATGACTCAGAGAACTATCCGTGCCTGGCAGTGTTGGAACCCAGGACCCACACACAGCTGGGTGTGCTAGCAGACATCTGTAATCCCAGGACCCACAAGGCCAAGTGTGCCAGTGCACATCTGTAATCTTAGTGTTCCTACACATAAAAACAACAAACAAGGACGGATACCTGACGCTGTCTTCTGACCTCCATATATGCATACTGGCACTTGCCTACACACACACACGCGCGCACACACACACACACACACAGAGAGAGAGAGAGAGAGAGAGAGAGAGAGAGAGAGAGGGAGAGAGAGAGAGAGAGATTTGAAAAAATATCTAGAGTGTAAATTAATCTCGGCTCTGCTAAGATGTGGCATCTATGGTTCATCCACCCGTCCGTCCGTCCATCCATCCATCCTCCATCCTTCAGACAGAGTTCTATGGCAGTGAGTGAGCTCCTATCAAAAATAAAATAAAATAAAAGACTCTTTAGACCAATCGTGTCTGTCAACTGTATTACTTTACTGAATTTTGCCGGGTTACAAATTAGCAGTTCTAATTTGTATTTTTAAAGGAGAGTGAGGAAGCAGCAGCCGTCGCTGCCTGGAGAGACAAGACGAGCTCCGTCTAACCATCCCAGAGGGCCCATAGTCAGATGAAATGATCCTTACAATCAACAGGTAGTCGAGCTTTCCCTCTGAGACTTGTACTTAAGGCTTGAATGAAACTCTGTACAAAATTATTTTGAGCACGTCAAGGACAACTGGAATGCAACTTCCGCTCCACACCGCAATTTTACCCAGGTTCTAGGTGCATTCTGCTCCCTGCAGTGGAGTCAGGTGGCTGTCCTGGGGCTGCCCACCCTTTGAGTAATGCTGCAGTGGATGCCAAGCCAGGCATGGACCTGGCTGGGCTCTACTAGGAGCAGCGGAAATCGCTTGCGCTCTCCTGACTGGTGGAGAACTGCCGGCTTCTCTGGGGTTACTTTGGGTGACGTCACAACGTGACAACCAATTACAAGCCTTCCATAAAAGAAACTGTTGAGCGCCAATACGCTATTGGCCAGGGGGTTTGTCAATCTCAGCAAAAGAGACCTTTCCCCCCTCCTCTTAGCAACGGGGGCGTCCTAGCAACACCGGCTGCCTGGCTGCTGTCGCTGGAGATTTCAGATTGATTTTTCCGAGCGAGAGGAGTCGAGCATCTTCAACCCTCAAAGGAGCTTTCCTCCCGGGTACTGCCAAGAGGTTGCTTTCTTTTCCCTTTAGCGATTCCAGGTAAGGGTGGTTCAGAATGGAAAAAGGAGGCATGGGAAAACTAAATAGCTCGTAACCATTTCAACGGCTTTCAGAACCCTCCCCAAATGTGGTGGTGGCAGTGAAGTCTACGAAGTAAGGAAAGACTCCCCCCCCCCCCCCGCTGCTTTCAAAAAACTCCCAGCCTAAGCCAGTGAGACAAAACAGCCATGAGACAGCAAACCGCGATCTAAGAATGCGGGAACAGACAGCACATACTGTCTTGTCCTTGCTCTCACATTGCCTGGCACGCAGTAGGAGCTCAATAAATTATGCATAAGTGAATATGGGAATGACGTGATCCTGGTTTCTCATCAACACAGTGGAAGATTAACGTGGGATGAAGCGGATCCCTGGGGGATGGGAGACGAAGAAGGAAGTTTTTTTTTTTTCATTCCTCTAGCGTAGCCTCTCCTCCCTAGTAGTTCCCTAGTAGTACTGTATACTGAACAGCAACCCCTCAGGCAGTGTGTTTGAGAACCCCTGTCAGCAGATAAGTCAGGCTGAGAGAGAAAGCAGACCACCAGTACAGGATCTTCTGATACCTGCTTCTAAAATGCAAACTCCACTCTTCAGAAGTAGAAGGGACTTGGGAAATTTGCATTTCAAGTGACATCAATCTTATACTCCAAGAGAATGTCTTTGTATAGGGAAGCGACCTGACCATTTCGTGCATGTAGAAATAACATTCACTGTATAAAATATGCAGTGAACAGTAATGGCCGTAATACTATCAGCAGCATTAATGTGTGTGCGCATGCGCACACACCTGTGTGATTGCCAATGCTGTAGCTGTATGAAGCTGAATGGTGTTTACAATGTTGTTGAGTATTTTGTTTGTTTGTTTTTTAGAGACAGGGTTTCTCTGTATTGTTTTGGAGCCTGTCCTGAAACTCACTCTGTAGACCAGGCTGTCCTCGAACTCACAGAGATCCGCCTGCCTCTGCCTCCCGAGTGCCACCAAAGCCAGGCTGTTGTTGAGTATTTCCAGCCAAATGAAACTGAAATAGAACACGGAGAGGAATACACTGATGAGAAATCTTCCAAAAGAGAATGATGTCCACAGTTTGAATTTACGATTTTGGACACTGGGGTGGGTAACACTTCATCTAAAAAGCCGGGAGAGCCACTTAAAAAGTAGAAATTTGGGCAGATGAGTAAAGGCACCTGCCACCAAGTGTGGTGACCTGAGTTTGCTACCAAGACCCCACATGGTGGAAGAGGAGAACTAACTCCAGCAAGTTGTCCTCTGTCCTCCACACACATACAAAAATCAATAAATAGATGCTATTAAATGTGTTTCAGTCGGAAGCCCAGGGCTGAGGAAGTAACTTTGCTGGCTAAATGCCAGCCTTACAACTGTGAGCACCTGAATTTGGTCACAGAAATACCAGGGGAAATAAACAGGGTGAAGGTTTGGAGGGATGGCTCAGTGCTTAAGATCACTTGATCCCCTTGTAGAGGGCCTGGCTCACAGTCGCCGGTAACTGCAGGCCAAGGGACTTGATTCCCTCTTCTGATCTGCATGCGCAAGCCCAGATGTGCAGATGGTACACATACATGCATGCAAGTAAAACACACATACAATAAAACAAACAGTAAATCTAAAAAAGGTTTTTTAGTGGAGGGTTGGTAACACATACTTGAAATCTCAGTGCTTCTGAAGCAGAGACAAAAAGATTCCTCACGCTTAATGGCCCGCCAGTTTAGCCCGCTTGGTGAACAGGTCAGTGAAAGACCCTTTCTCAAAAAATCATGATGACAGGTAGACTGTGCCTAAGGCATGACATCCCAAGTGCCCCTGCACACTGGGGGAGGGGGAGGTGTAGGGGGAAGAGAGGGAGGGATAGAAATGTCTAAACATTATCAGAATCATAAAATATCCATCAAGGCATAAATTACACCTTTATCAATGAAGGCCATGGCTTTAAATAGCCCTGTTTGTGTGCTGGCCAGTTTTATGTCAGCTTGACACCAACTGTAGAGTCATCAGAAAAGCGGGGACTGCATTTGAGAAAATTCCTCAATAAGATCTGCATGCAGGGCATTTCCTTAATTAGTGATGGGGGGGCAGTCCATCGTGGGTGGGGCCATCCCTGGGCTGGTGTCCTGGACACTGTAAGAAAGTAGGCTGAGCAAGCCATGAGGAGCAAGCCATAAACAGCCCCCTCCATGGCCTCTGCATCAGCTCCCGCCACCAGGTTCCCGCCCTGTGGGAGTGCCCGCCATCACTGTAGTGATGGACTACAGTGTGGAAGTGTGAGTCAAATGAGCATTTTCCTCCCCAACCTGCTTTTGGTCATGGTGTTTTTATCACAGAAATAGAAACCCCAACTAAGACATGTTTGTACCGAAACACAGAAATCTGAGGGATGGTGGGGTGTGGAGGTTGAGACACATTGGACTTTTCGGGACTCAACATGAAAAGTTCTTGCTGGGTAAATCTGGCAGCCTGAGTTCAATCCTAGAACCAAAAGTGAACAGAGAGAAACAACTCCACAAAGCTGTCCCTCGACAGCCACACAAGCACAGTATCGCACATGCCACTCCCCTCCCCCCACATCATGCATGGGCACACACACATACACAATAATAATAATAAATCATGTTTCCAGTGTGTACAAGAAAGACATGTATGGCAAACACACAGACACCCGTACTCTGGTCAGGATTCTGTAATGAAGGAACTGGGTAAAAAAATCAACAAAACTGACGACGTCTCAGCCATCAGCTACAAGATGATGCCCAACCTGTGTTGTTGTTGAGTTCACAATATGACAAACCACTCGGAAGTAACAGTGTTAATGATTGGCTGTTTACTACTTTCATGGAGCCCTCATAGCCAGCTTCTGAGGTAGATTTTATTATCCCCACCAAACAAAGAAGCACACAAAGACTAAGAAGGTCTATGGTTTGCCAAGACCATTCAGCTAAAAAGGAGAAACTGTTTGTAAATCCTGGTCCATAGACCCCGGGAATCACAAGTCTTATACTGTAGCTCAGGCTGGCCCAGATGCCTGACAATCCTCCTGCTCCAACCCCCAAGAGATACAATTATAGGCATGGCCACTATACCAGACTCTGAAATCACATCTCTATCCATTTAATAGGATAAGTCTATCTTGACAGGGATTTAATGTCATAGGATGACGTTGTCCCGTGCTACAGCCTATCAAAGCATCCTGGGATGGCACAAATAAGACCTTAATAATTACATGCTCATTTGCTAAGACAGGAGTATGACAAATTATATTCATTTAAGAATTAAGCACAGATGTCGGTGCTGTAGACCTGGCTCATCCCACCGGCTTTAAGCTCATCAGTATAGCCCAGGCATCTGTGAGGAGACAAAGTACGAGGCAGCACTGAGCAACCACAGAGAATGAGGCCCCAGTGACTCGGGGATGGTGAGGAGGCACCTCAGCCCATGGCACCATAGGAACAGGATCTTCTCAATCACGCTGCTGTTGCATTCCAACCTGTAGTCACAGGATTCAGCCAACCCAAAGTTCCTACTGAAAATGCATTATCAGCTTAGTCTAGTCCCAAACCTAGAAAACATCACGTTCACCAAGTAAGAATGCCTCACACCTGAGTGCACAAACCAGGACTAAATAATGTACCTCTTTTTGTAGCCTACATCAGAGCCATGGCTCCAAAACCACAAAAGAGCCCCAAGAGCCAGAAAAAGGGCCAGCATGTCAAAAAGAAGACCAAACAGTCATTACCAGGTACAGTTGGCTATTACGTGTTATTGTATGTTGTTGTGTGTGTATACTTTGGCTTTACCTACCAAGTAACATGGAATACTTTTGCTGTTATAAAGTCAGACAGTAAATGTTTGGCGGTTAATCTTCCTCCCATTTGCCTCACACTACACTATTCATGAAACGCCACAGCACATACATCACCCAAGCGAAGGACAGACACCTGCTTCTTCTGTAACCAGTAGCGTGGCAGCTGAATTCTTCAGTGCATGTTTTCATCTCTGTTCTAGATTTGATGTTTTACAGTATTATAACAAAGTGAGGTCATTGGATTCAACAATGTGAATATGATATTTCATTGTGTTTTAGTTGCTGAAGAAGAGGAACCCATGAACATGGAGAGCATGGGTGAGTATGAATGATGCTCAGACTGCATGGGTGAGTGGGAATAACAGACTGTTATTTGAAGTCTCACTGTCTAGCCCAGATAGGCCCAGCAGAGGGATCAGGGACAGGCATGGGGAAGGAAGGATGGGAAGAATCCAGGAGGGGTGCAGTTCTACTGGGAGGGGGTCTCCCACCCATTCTGGCTGGTGTGGTCTGCACCTCAATGGCAGGACTCTGCTGGGGTTGGAGTCAGGCCCCAGAGTGGGGCAGGGACTAGTTGGGGCGCATGGACCCGGGGAAAGGTTTGGGGCATAGAATCCTGGGAAAGGGCAGTTCCCCTAGTAGACGAGCCACTGACCCTTTATAGTTGGTGTGGTCTCCCGAGAATAGATAATCTTTAAAACACTAAATTTTATATTAAAAAATAATAAAGTGGATGGAGAGACCCAGCTCCACAGTTGTTCTCTGACCCCCAAAGCTTGCTGTGCACCCATGCCCACATACATACATCATACACTGTATGCCCAACACGTACATACATACATCACACACTGCTGTGCACCCATGCCCAACACATACATGCATACATCACACACTGCTGTGCACCCATGCCCACACACACACATACATACATACATACATACATCACACACTGCTGTGCACCCATGCCCAACACATACATGCATACATCACACACTGCTGTGCACCCATGCCCACACACACACATACATCATACATCACACACTGCTGTGCACCCATGCCCACACACATACATACATACATCACACACTGCTGTGCACCCATGCCCACACACATACATACATCACACACTGCTGTGTGCCCATGCCCAACACATACATACATACATCACACACTGCTGTGTACCCATGCTCAACACATACATACATACATCATACACTGCTGTGCACCCATGCCCACACACATACATACATACATCACACACTGCTGTGCGCCCATGCCCACACACATGCATACATACATCACACACTGCTGTGCACCCATGCCCACACACATACGTACATACATCACACACTGCTGTGCACCCATGCCCACACACATGCATACATACATCACACACTGCTGTGCACCCATGCCCACACACACACATACATACATACATCACACACTGCTGTGCACACATGCCCACACACACACATACATACATCACACACTGCTGTGCACCCATGCCCAACACATACATACATCACACACTGCTGTGCACCCATGCCCAACATGTACATACATACATCACACACTGTTGTGCACCCATGCCCACACACATACATACATACATCACACACTGCTGTGCACCCATGCCCACACACACACATACATACATCACACACTGCTGTGCACCCATGCCCAACACATACATGCATACATCACACACTGCTGTGCACCCATGCCCACACACACACATACATACATCACACACTGCTGTGCACCCATGCCCAACACATACATACATCACACACTGCTGTGCACCTATGCCCACACACACACATACATACATCACACACTGCTGTGCACCCATGCCCAACACATACATACATACATCACACACTGCTGTGCGCCCATGCCCACACACATACATACATGCATCACACACTGCTGTGCACCCATGCCCACACACATACATACATGCATCACACACTGCTGTGCACCCATGCCCACACACATACATACATACATACATACATACATACATCATACACTGCTGTGTACCCATGCCCACACACACACATACATCACACACTGCTGTGCACCCATGCCCAACACATACATGCATACATCACACACTGCTGTGTGCCCATGCCCAACACATACATACATACATCACACACTGCTGTGTACCCATGCCCAACACATACATACATACATACATCACACACTGCTGTGTGCCCATGCCCAACACATACATACATACATCACACACTACTGTGCACCCATGCCCACACACACACATACATGCATACATCACACACTGCTGTGCACCCATGCCCACACACACACATACATACATACATCATACACTGCTGTGCACCCATGACCACACACACACATACATCACACACTGCTGTGCACCCATGCCCACACACACACATACATCACACACTGCTGTGCACCCATGCCCACACACATACATGCATACATCACACACTGCTGTGCACCCATGCCCAACACATACATACATCACACACTGCTGTGCACCTATGCCCACACACATACATACATACATCACACACTGCTGTGCACCCATGCCCACACACACACATACATACATCACACACTGCTGTGCACCCATGCCCACACACACACATACATACATACATCACACACTGCTGTGCACCCATGCCCAACACATACATGCATACATCACACACTGCTGTGCACCCATGCCCACACACACACATACATACATCACACACTGCTGTGCACCCATGCCCACACACACACATACATACATACATCACACACTGCTGTGCACCCATGCCCAACACATACATGCATACATCACACACTGCTGTGCACCCATGCCCACACACATACATACGTCACACACTGCTGTGTGCCCATGCCCACACACACACATACATACATACATCACACACTGCTGTGCACCCATGCCCACACACACACATACATACATACATCACACACTGCTGTGCACACATGCCCACACACACACATACATACATACATCACACACTGCTGTGCACACATGCCCACACACACACATACATACATACATCACACACTGCTGTGCACACATGCCCACACACATACATACATCACACATTGCTGTGTGCCCATGCCCAACACATACATACATACATCACACACTGCTGTGTGCCCATGCCCAACACATACATACATACATCATACACTGCTGTGCACCCATGCCCACACACATGCATACATACATCACACACTGCTGTGCGCCCATGCCCACACACATGCATACATACATCACACACTGCTGTGCACCCATGCCCACACACATACATACATACATCATACACTGCTGTGCACCCATGCCCAACACATACATACATCACACACTGCTGTGTGCCCATGTCCTGGACCTTCCTCAGTCTCATCGGAGCAGGCAACATCCCATTACCCTTTAGGCTCAAGTGAGTGCCTCTCCCTGTTGATCTTCAAGTTCTGCAGCCTGAGGTCCTGATGCTGGCCTCCACACATGCCTTAAAGCCTAAAGAGCAAACTGGTCTTATCCAGTTTCGCCACAGACTCTGTGGGGAGGCAGAATCCTTAGACCTTGCTCTATTCTGCCTGTTATGCCAGCATGAAGACACCGAACACATTTGTATCAGCTGCCTCTTGTTCACAGTAACCATCAATCGCCTCCCCAGCTACTAATAGCCTATAATGTTTACTAGCCTCTACATAAGGAAATGTCAAATCCTATCTTTAAATTGCCTTTAAAACATCCAGTTAGTGAAAATGGACTGTTTTTATGGGGGGGGGACAAGTTAGTAGGAGCTGAACTGTGTGTCTGGTTGGGGCAGGAAATATGAAATGCAGTCTTGAGGCAGGGGGGTCACCACAAATTCAAAGCCAACCTGTTCTGCATAGTGAGTCCTTGGACAGCCTCTGTGTTCACAGTGGGACCCTACTCCAGACTTTACTTTTGTTGCCATGATAAAATAACTGGAGACATGTAGTGAGACATCCAACCGTACCTGTTGCACATGCCCCATTGGGGCATGGGGACAGGTGCGGGCGTGACCTGGGGGGGGGACTAGGTCTGGGGTCCTGACCCCAGCTCTCTCTTGTTTCCTGGCCGGAGACAGAGAGCATCCGGAGGCATCCTTGGGATGAGAACCTGCAGCGATCATCTGTTTCTGGTGATTTCTCCCAGAATACACGTCCGTAGCCTATCGTTTCCCAGATTCTTATTTACCATGCTTTAGACAGAAAGCTGCATAGGGGTGGTAAGACATATTTGGCTCACAATTTCCGTTTATAGTCCTCCAGTGACAGGGGTAGTAAAGGCAGGAACTTCGTCAGCTGCTCCCTTCACACTCAGTCAGGAGCAGAGACAAATGAGTGTGGCCCTCCCTCCTTGCCTAGGGAATGGTGCCGCTCACAGAGGCTGAAACTGTCCACACCAGTTAACCCAATGACGACCACCCCCTACAGACCTGCCGATAAGGCCGATCTACTGTGGATTACCTGGCCCCAGGTGACTCTGGGTTGCACTGAGTTGATAATTAAAGCTAACAATCAACAGACTCTGTCGCTACAGTTTTAAAAAGAGAACCTGTTTCGTGGGAGGCAGCCAGCCTCTTGCCTTTCTGAACACCTGAGTTAGTACAGCGCCACCTGCTGCAGAGGAGTCCACATTTCCTCCCAGCAGCTTCCTGGGGAAACCACAGAGCCTTTAACATGTAGTCTATGCTACACATCACCATCCTCCGTGTGTTCCAACCACTTACGGAGGATCTCGGTTAACTGAAAAGTCAGTAACTAAAAACTTTTCGTTGGTACCTCTGAGGATGTTAAAAAGGGGTTTGTCCAGAATTCATGATTAATGTGTATTACAAATGACTGTTGCAACAACTAATTGCAGTCTAGAATACATTCTCATACATAATCAGAGTTCTGCCTAAGATCATTTAAGGCCCTCAAATTACATAACTAATTATCCCACAGAGCCACTTTGGGGGCAGGATACTTCTGCAGGAAAATAAGCGCAGAGCTCCAACTGAGGCAGTGTTATCTTTCTGGCTTTGCTGGTACCAGTGGGCTGCTGGTCGGAACGATCATGGAGAAGATGCAGGAGTATGAGAGATGGGGAAAGTAAGAACAGGCCCGGGGACCCCAGGAATGCTGGCACGAAAGGATGGGCTGTAGGGAGGCACAGAGCAGTGATGTTCAGTAGGATAAAAAGCGGGAAGACAGCTTGGGTGAAGGCTGGCGACTGGCTAAATGCTCCCTTGTCCTACTGCGTCCTCTGAGCCAGGACATGCCACTGCTAGGGGCTGGCCAGGGGTGGGAGAAAGAGAAAGGATCGGGGAGAGTGACAGAAGCTGAAGGGACCTAAAAGAAAATCACCACACCTTCAGACCAGTACTCCCACTTCGAAAACTACCCCCAAAGAAGTGGTTTGTTACACGAGAACAGTCCGCAGGCTTTTTAATTTGTGAGAGTAGTTATAACAATTGGAAACGAAAAAGAAAAAACAGCACTCACCAGTAAGAAGATGGTCAATACAGGGATAAGTCAACTTAAAATAATGTTTCAGAGATGTTACTTAATGTCATATTAGAAACACATCTGAGGTAACAGTAAAATGCTAAAAGCAGGATTCAGAATTTCTTAAAAGGCCTACATGGGATGAAGAGAGGAAAATATCAATAAGCTGTTTCTTGGAGTAAACATCTTTTTATTTTGCTTGAGATTTTATGTGTGTGCATGCATGCATATTTGTGTTTGAGTGGGTACATGTGGGCGGATATGTGTGCATGCATGTGGAGGTCAGACGTGTGCGTGCATGTGACGGTCAGAGGACACCTTTGAATATCATTTGTTCCTCAGCCACTTGCTACACTTTTGTTTGAGATAGGGTCTCATTGGTCTGGAACCTACTCAAGTAGGCAAGCCTGCTGAGCCAGAAGTTCCAGAGATCTGCCTTCTCTGCCTCCCAGCTCACTGTGGCTGGCATTACAAGGGTGGCCCTCCAAGTCCACCTTTTCCGTGGGTGCTGTGGGTGGAACTCGGATCCTCGGGTTTGTGAGGCAAAGGTTATTGAGTGAGTCATCTTTAAAGCCCGAGGTTCAAAATGTTTACCGTGAATGTCGCTACTTCAAATGTAAAAGCAATACATTTAGAGTCTCGAATTTTTCACCGAGAAAATTATTTTTAAAAACCAACAACTTGCACATTTCCCGGTGCTAGTATTTTAAACTGTACTTAACCACCAAATTCCCCTTTGTTTTCACAGGCCACCCAGAAATTTATCCATTAGTATTAACGACCAAGACCCAAGAAATATTCAGCTGTCGAGTAGATGAAGATTTCACAGAGGAGCAACCATATAAGCTCATCAAAAAAGAAGATATCTTGGCGGACTTGCTGAACCGAGCCGCAGTATCTGACTTCCACCCAGTCAAAAAAATCGTCCGGGTAAATACAGGCTTGCTCTTGGCTCTCAATCCTAGGTCAAGAACATCCCACCATATAACACCAGCTAACTGGAGAAGATTTTGCATCCAAAAATGGCATTCTCTTTATTTCAGCCCCCTGGGAATCCTATGTGAGGATGCTAAATGAAAGGTTCATTCTTACCCGAAACTTAAAATAGGAATCTAGCTGGGCATGGTGGCGGTTGGGAGACTAAGGCAGGAAGGTCACAAGTCTGAGGACAATGTGGGATATATAGTAAATCCCAGGCCATCCTGCAAAGTAAGACTGAGTCTCAAAAAATGTTTCCTTATACTGCTTTAAAGTGTTTAACCCATAGTCTGGTCCTGCTTTGCCTCCAAGCGTGTAGACCACACCATCAAACAGTGTGCATGCTTTGCTCTGTGTGTGTGTGTGTGTGTGTGTGTGTGTGTGTGTGTGTGTGTGTGTGTGTGTGTTGGGATGGGTAGGTGTACCCTGTGAGTGCTGGTGCATGAGTGTGCATGGGTTGTGGAGACTGGGAGTTAACCTCCTGTGTCTTTCTCAATAACACTCCTCCTTATTTTTCTAGACAAAACCACTCACTGAGCCTGGTATCTGTCAGTTAGGCTGGGCTGGACAACCAATGAGTTTCACAACAACTCCTGTATCTCCTGACCCCAACCCTGAAATCAGAGACAATGCCCCTGTGTCCCACTGGGAATCTGAACTTAGGTCCTCAGGCATGCACAGAAGACATTTAACAACTGGGTCATTTTCCCTAGCCCCGATGTTTTCCTCCTTCTGTTAGAAATAAAACCACATGGTAATGGGGCTGGAGAGATGACTCGGCTATTCAGAGTGCTGCCAGCTCTTCCAAAGGGGTCTGGTTCCCGGAATCCATGTGCTACCAGCTACCTCCAGTTCCAGGGCATTCAGCTTTCTCTTCTGACCTCCATGGAAGCTGGTCACGCACATGGTGCTTATCAATTCCTTCAAACACAACACTTAATAAATATAAAATTAAAATAAATTTAAATTGCATTGTAAAGTTTCCATGGATCCGTTGCATTTTTAAGAACTTTTTAATTAAATAATTTGGGGCTTTGAGTTTAGCAGGCAGATTATCACCACGTTTGCATTTCAGGCAAGTAGATTTGATGTTGGCACTGGGACAAACTGAATGTGCTCTGACACTCGCCTTCTGCTGATATCCCCACAGGAATACCCAGGGGAGGAGCTGCTGCTCGTTTATGACAGAGACTTCAAATACGGACTCAACTTTTACCTCATCGGGACTGAGGATGGCAAGGAGAACTTTTTAAAGGTAAGAAAATCCCAAGCCTTGCAGGCTGGTTACTGGAGGGTGCGGTGCTTCTGAGACCCCCTAGGCCCCCACACATGGATGGCTCTGTCCCTGAGCTCAGCTCAGCTTCCAAACGGTGAGCTTTGACCTGAATCTGGAGAGGAACTCAAGAGTGTAAATTATACCCCAGGGTTGGGTTATCCCAAATACAGTACAGAGAGAGAGAGAGACAGACACACACACACACACTTTCCTCTTATCAACTAACCCTTCATAAATTTAGGGAAACTGAGTTTTATATTTAACCATCAAACTAAGCAATCTGTATTATTTGAAAAAAAAAAAAAAAACCATGCAGTAAATGATGCTTTTGAGCGTGTGGAGTGTCCTCTTCATCCCCTTATCTTTGTCTCTCCTCGTCATCTTCCCATGCCCTGATGCCTTCCTGTTTAATTCTTTGTTCTTCGCCCACCACCACCACCACCCCCTTTTTTTTTTTTTTTTTTTTTTTTTTTTTTTTTTTTTTTGCTTAGCTGACTTACAAAAACACAGGCTAACAAAGATGTAGGAAGTGCTTCGTGTCCCCACATAAAAGCCAGGTTAATTGGTGACGCACACGGGATACATGGGCGGCTATACGTTCTTGAATGCTTCCTGTCCTTGTCTAGCCCCCAGAAGTGCCAGAGGAGCAAGAAGAACCCAAGGAGCTTGCTCCAGAGGATATGTACGTCTACAAGCCACCCATGTCCAAGCCCTGGGTGTCCTTGGGCAGTGAGAAAGAAATTGAGGAAGAATCTGTCAAGGAATCGAAAAGGCGGGTCAGACTCTTTAATGTTTTCCAGTCTTTACCTCCCAGTCACTGAATACTTCTTTCCTGAGACACCCTGGGCTTGCTATATGTGTTACTGGCAACGGTGGGCTTTCTTTCTACCTTTCTTTTTCTTCCTTCCTTCCTTCCTTTCTTTTTCCTAACAGAATAATGGTTTCTTTCTTTGGCAGGTGTTAGGGATTGAATCTCTCCCCCACCCCACCCCACAAAAAAAGGGTATCTAAAAGTATCTTGACCTCTAGTACCCCAGAGTGTAACACTACTGGTATGTGGGGGTGGAGGGAGTCTTTGCAAATATGATTAGTTATAATGAGGTCAAAAATCGAATCGGCTCCTAATCTAATTTGACTAGTGTTCTTATGAGAAGTTGGCCGTGTACAGATGTAGACAGGGATGCCGGATGAAAGGACAGAGAACTGGACCTCGAGCCCTCCAAGCCCTTGGCCCAATCCCCAACACCCATGCTTGCTCAAAGACTGTAGAGACCTGAAGGAGAACGTATTTATGATCAAGGGATAACGAAGACTGCTAGCTGGCAGCAGGGCTTGGGAAAGACCATTTCAGCTAGACAAGTACAGATTCCAGCCTCTATGGCTGTAGGAATAAGTTCCTATGTTTTAAGGCACCCTAGTTGGTTACAGCGATGGTAGGAAAGGAATACAGGAGTGTTCCTCCCAAAGCAACTCCTGAGGAGATGGTTGTGCTGCAATTGGCTTAGGGGGGAAGGAAGCCCCCCCCAAGGGAACGAGCTTGCCATAGTCTCTAGAAGTAAGGCTTTGTCCTGAGTCCGTAGAGGACCTTGGGAGTACAAATTACACTCAGGGCTTGGACTCAGGAGACGGACCTCCACACACCTCCTACCAGTCTGCCACCGGACAAGATGTAAACTCCCAGCCACTTCTTGGCCCGTTTGTCTACAGGAAAAGAGGGCTCAGCCATGGTGAACACGGTTTCACTGAGGAATGGTGGCTTCAGGAAGAGAGGCTCAGCCATGGTGAACATGGTTTCACTGAGGAACGGTGGCTTCAGGCTGTGGGAACAAAAGCCACACGGATCTAGAGAAGAACAGGAAGAATCCAAAGGAGTCTAGGAGGGCAGGGCATACCCTGCACACATCCACTCTCCTCCAGGGACCTCACTGGGTTTTGTTTGCTGTTTATGTGTGTTGCAGGTGACATACATGATCTCTAGAAAACGAAGTCAATTTGGCGCACCTGTGGCTTTCAGAGACCAGAATGCTTCCAGCGTAAAAGATGTCTACATTGAGTGTGCTTCCTACTCAGATAAAAATTACACACTCACACAAATTGAGAAAGACATTGGCTTGCAAGTCATTCCTGAAGTCAAGGACACGGGCACTCAGACAAAATGGTAGGTATGACAGGACATAACAGACAAAGATGTGTATTCAGTCCAGGAAGGCTGAACTATGCCCAATAATTCCCTTTTCCAAATCTTAGGGAACAAGAAGCAGGAAAATGAAAAATGGTGTTAATAATCACAGTGCTGGCTGGTTCTCGCCTGGAATTTTGCTGTTGTCTTCTAGAAGTTCCATTCTTCCTGCTGAAAGACTTTGTTTTACGATTGGGGTCTCACTATTTAACCCAGGCTGGCCTGGAACTTGCTATGTATTTCAGGCTGACCTTCAATTTACAGTGATCCTCCTGCCTCACTTCCCTAAATGCTGGGATTACAGGCACAGACCACTGCACTGGCTCCAAATGACCGTTTATGTCCTTTGTGTCAGATTGTCTGGCTTCATTGACAAGAGTTCTTATTTGGGCCACCATCAACTTATTAAAAAACAATAAATGTCCATCCAGAGCCCTTAGGATAATATCTAGAGTCTTGATTCCTTCACAGTGAGGTACACAGCTAAACACTGAGATGAACTAGAATCCAGATGCAGAGAGGGAGAACAAGACCAGGCTGCAGAAACCCACAGAGACAGCTGACCTGAACAAGCAGGAGCTAATGGGCCCTCAGACTGGTAGCTGGGAAATCAGCATTATACCGACTCAGAGCCCCTGAACATGGGTCTAAGTTAGAAGGCCTGGGCAGTCTAAGGGACCTCTGACAGTGGAACCAGAATGTGTTCCTGGTGCACAGAAGGACTTTGGGAGCACATTCCCCATGGAGGGATACTCCCTTAGCCTAGAGGCAGGAAGGAAGGCCTAGTCCCTACTCCAAATGACTTGACAGATTTAGGTGACCCTTTCTGGAGGGCATCACCCTACATGTGGAGGGGGGATGGGATAGGAGAGGGAGGGAGGGAGGGGGAAGGGAAGGAGAGAAGGAGGGAAGGAGAGGGAACTGGGATCAATATGTAAACTAAGAAAAAGGAAAAAGAAGCAAAAAGCTGTGGACCAGCAGGAGATGCTGGCAAGCTCAGAAACAAAAAGCACTTGATGCTACAGTGTAGATATGATCCATGGTGGTGTGTGCTACAGGGCAGGGCAGGGGAAGCTGTAAATTAAAGGGACGAACAATAAAAACCCAGAGACAGATATTGAGGTTCAAGCTGAAGATCAGAAAAGCAAAGCAGCTGGCCAGTAGCTCTCACCTCTACCAAGGCTCAGACCAAAGGGGGAGACCCTGATCTCAGAGCGCCCGCAGACTGCAGTGCGCTCCACCAAACCTCAGGCTCCCTGAGACTGCACCGAGCCCCTGCCCTATATTCCTCTCTAGTGCTGGGATCAAATGCGTGAGCTCTGTTTCTCCTTTAGACTGATTCACTCTCATGTAGCCCAAGGTGACCTTGAATTCACAGAGATCCATCTCCGAGTGCTGGGATTAAAGGTGTGCCCACCACTGCCTGTCCTCTGTGGCTGACTAGTGGCTTAGTGTATGGAGGTCAGTGGGGGCCTATGAAGTGAACAAGGTCAAAATACGTCATACCCTTATGAAACCCAGTACTGTGCACAGTGCATATATATTAAAAGTAGCTTTAAAGAGTCTTATATTGTAAACTTTTATTTGGAAATCATTTAAAAAACATAGGAAAGGTGTAAGAAGAATATAACAATGAAGAAATTCCTATACACCCCTTACTTACTCAGGTTCTCCTGTTCATTCCCAAGACTTTTCTTATTATGTTGGAGAAATGTACATGTAGACTTTGGTGATCAGTATCAATTTTATGATAAACAAAAAGTACCAAGGTAAAATATTTTGATATTCTGACACTACTGCCACAGAAATAGACTTTTAACCTGGTATATATTTGCTTTCTCTGATCCAAGTTTTGGTATTAACTTTCTCCTCTATATTAGGACATTTCCTAAAAATGCTACTACACAGTATTATGCAAGAGAATTTTCAGAAGAGGAAAAAGAAACCCTTGAACAATCAAAGAGTTTGGTCGATTTCCTCAACAATGTGTCCACAAGGTAAGAAAGTGCACACTAAAAACTTTAAACATAATATGCACACACTTATTTTTAATAATGGTGTCTTGAGATGCAGCTTTATGTGTGACATTTAGAAATATGAGGACAGTTGTAAGACATGAGTGAATGAGTCTTCATGATTCCTGCCCTTCTACTGCTAAGTTATCACAAGCATCTCATTCTAGGGCTGTACCAACCAACAGCGAGAACAACCAAGTGTATCAAGATGTTTTCCTAATTCCAAATCAGCAATTGAGTTGAGCATTACATATCTGAATGCTTGAGGCCGGAACATGACAGACTGTAGATGGGATAAAAGTCTAAGCAAAAAATTAATTCATGTTTCATGCACACCTATACAAAGGACGATCTACCTTTTTATGTCCGTTCATGGGTAAACCTATACAAAGGACAGTCTACCTTTTTATGTCCGTTCATGGGTAAAGGGGCGTTTCACATTACATGATTTAGTTCAGCCTGGAATGTATGGCAAGGAACACCCAGATACTATAAATTAAGAGCTGTGCGATGACAGCACAGACAGCTTGGTAACTGTTCCAGAGAGCCGTGCAGGGAGACAAGGCCTTGGGGAGGGTATGAGATCAGGAGGTGCAAGCCCGTGTTACAATGCGAAGGGGCTTTTGGAATTCCTTCCCTGTTACAAACGAAAAATAACCCAGACCCAAAAGATAGAACAAAATGTGTACAAGAACTATAATAGCACTGGTTCAAATACTAATATTACTGTTTTTCTTCCGGTTTGAAAACTGTTTACCATTATTTAATATATTTTAAGCTCCTGGAAGTGTGAGTCTGGTCTATGAGTAAGTAGAAGTGTTTATCTAATTATTCCTTTATCAATAAAAAACTTGGGAGTCAGATATTGGGGTAAGAGCCTGATTGGTCAGAGAAGCGGCCAGTGACTGTCTCCCTCCTTCCTCAATCCGAAAGGTCCTCCCTACTACTTCCTGTGTCTCTCTGTATGCTCTTGATCATCCAAAGCCTCTAAGGCTTATTCTGGTCAGCTAGCACTTAGGTCCACCCTCTGATTAAAGTAAACGTTATTGGCAGTCTCAAGAACGTCAGAGTTTGGTCAAAACACCCCACAACATTTTTGTCTAAATAAAAGGTTTTTTCATTCTAACACAGTAAAACCATATACAATAAGAACAATTGTCAGGTAAGAATTACATTAACAATGTCCAGACCACAGACCATATGTATTTGGCAAATTTGGAGAAATTACCATATTATCTATCTTATCTTGATGAGTCCAAAGTTTTATACCTAAACCATTTAATATCATATGTATTACCATCTTGAAATTATCTCTTTAGACCTTAAAACACCTTCTTGAATAAACAACTTAAGCTTTTTTTTTTTTAACAGACCTAATTCACTTTATTTTTCTTGTATAAAACCCCTTCTGTGGCAGCCACAGCTGGAGCCTGGGTCCTCTGAACAGAGACTCTGATATGGGCTTTCACAAGATAGTCAGTGAATTCCTGATAAGGAGACTTGGTGAACACAGTCTCTCTCCAGAGGTCAGGGGTCAGTTACCTGTAGGTCTTGGAGATGGCATCAAAGGTGGCCTTGGCAAAGTTGCCCAGGGTGGCAGTGCAGCCCCTGGCTGATGTGTAGCAGTCATCAATACCAGCCATCATCAGTAGCTTCTTGGGCACAGGAGCAGAGACGATGCCAGTGCCTCTGGGGGCAGGGATGAGACGCACCAACACAGAGCCACAGCGGCCTGTCACTTTGCATGGAACAGTGTGGGGCTTGCCAATCTTGTTCCCCCAGTAGCCTCTCCTCACAGGGACAATGGAAAGCTTGGCCAAGATGATGGCCCCTCGGATAGCTGTGGTTACCTCCTTGGAGCACTTAACACCAAGACCAACATGACCGTTGTAGTCCCCAATAGCGACAAAAGCCTTGAACCCAGCCCGCTGGCCAGCCCTTGTCTTCTTCTGTACTGGCATGACCTTTAGAACCTCATCCTTAAGGGATGCCCCCAGGAAAAAGTCAATAATCTCGGATTCCTTAATGGGCAGAGAGAAAAGATAGATCTCCTCCAGGGACTTGATCTTCATGTCCTTTACCAGACGTCCCAGCTTGGTGACGGGAATCCATTCCTTGTCTTGGGCTTTACCTCCACGAGCCCCTTAGCCTCGACCATGACTGCAGCCCCTGAGACCACTGCCAAAGCCTCCAAGGATGCTGCAGCCTCCTAGTCCTGGGCCCTCCAGCTGCACCGGCATCATCCGCCATCCGGCATCATCGCCATTTGGTGTTTTCCCGAAGTAGAAGAAGCGCAACTTAAGCTTTTATATTTCCCAACTATATAAACTTTACATCTTTTATATACAGTTTTTTTTCCTTTCTGAATTTAGTAACAAGGAAAACTGAATAACTATCTAGCCTTCAATCCCTATTTAAAAAAAAAAAAAACCCAAGAAGGATAAAATATTACCTGAGTAAACAGGAAGTATAGAGCACACAACTTCCAAACAACAGAGACGTTTTGCTGCATGGACAATCGCCCATGGTTTCTCTGTAACATTGGGGCATCCATATTTGGCCTATAGGCCTAGAATATATGATAAACTTTTCCGTGAAGCAGTAATTTTGAAGGACTGTCTGCCCTACATTGTCTTGACCAAGTTCAGCAATCGCTTTCTGTGTGTCCTGCTTATCCAATTTGAACAGTATATTGTCAGCATTCAAAGCAAAGGCAGTTTCTTTTGCCTAGATAGTTACTCACTCCAAAAAACTCCAGATGGAGGTTCTTCGATGCCCATCATCCTTTTTTGAAGCAGATTGTTGCTGCTGCCAGGAGCAGCACCACTGAAAAGCTTTATGTTATTAAAACATCTTAAATGTCATACTCTGTAGGTCTCTGAAATGTTTGAAGATCACCTATATCTAAAATATATCTTTGTTTAACCTTGAAAACATACCTAGCATAAGCTTGATTATTAAAGGTGACTAAATACTAGCCTGTACTTCTTAATTACCCTAGGCAGTTTATAATAATAACTTCCAAGGACTAGAAATTTACATTGTGTTGTTAAACGAGCTGCATAGGAACAATATCTTAAAGAAGAATATATATATATATATATTATATATATACATATATGTGTATATATGTATATATAATAACAAAAATAGCCTTAAATTTGTATCAGCATACAAAAATCCATAACAATGTAAAATATTTAAAACTAGCCATTGCTTTTATAGTTTAAATGTAGATCCAATAATCTACCCTTTTATCCTATCGTTCCTATATCCCCTTTTTTGTTTTTAGAAAGAGACCTCTGAATCTAACCTCCTTTGCTTAGTTTCCTCCCTGATTGTGACCAATAACAACTTGTAACCAAACCCCATAAATCATCCATAACCCCCACAATAGCCCAAAACCACCCATCCCACACCTTGGGAATGTGAGTATCAAGTTCTTAAAGTTACTTGCTGTCATCTGGGGATGATGACATCTTTAGGGGACCCTGAAAAAATTAAGACAATGGTCTAGACCAGGGAGAAGTGGCTGGTGTGATGTGAAAGTACCAGGATCATCTGAAGTCCTGGCTGGAGTGGTCTTCGAGACTGGACCATCTTAGCTAGCCATCTTGAAACCACCCTGAGCAGTTTGTAGTCCAAAGCTGATCTTTGGGCAGTGTGTGTCAGCTTAGCGGCATCACCACAATCCAGGTGGAATCCTCATTGTGGGGCTTTTTTTAAATGCTAATGAAAAATGGACAGCAGCTTTGGAGAAACATTGTAGTAGAAAATCTGCTAAATTAAATCAGCCTGTACACTTTAAGGATGTGCAAACTTGAGAATGGAAACCAGGATATGTGTTACACTGGAGAAGAGATTTTGCTTTGGTTTCCACTGGAGAAGAAAAGTTATAGATACTACCGAAATTGATAAATATTAGATTCAAACAGGAGAGACATCTTGGTTAAGAGACTAGCAAATCCCTTTAATTTGATCAGATATAACATGCCAGAGAGAGAGAGAGAGAGAGAGAGAGAGAGAGAACTCAAAAGTTAGGGTTGGGCCAGGGTTTTGTTTTTGTCTTTCCAGGAGAATAAAAGCATCCAGCTAAGGAATCTGAAGACCACTAGACAGGTGATACATATGAAGGAAAATGAAGAATCATCCAGAAAAAATATCCCAAGAAAATTTGTAAATTGGTCTAGTAGTGTAACACATTTCCAACAGGATAAAATTTCATAAATCTTCCCAAATGTTTGCTTCTGCTGCTTTATGCAACATATAAGGCAACTGGTCTTTTTGTAGTACCAATTCAATTCAAAATTGATGCTGGCTTTTGAGTTTCAGCATGACCCTCTCCTTCTCTAAACCTGAGCATGCTTGCTAAAGGAAAACCCAAAATCTGTCTCGTGTCAAAAGAGCCATCTGGTATGGTACAGAAGTAAAAACCAAAATTAAGGGACTATTGCCACTAATCTCATAATCCTTTTGTTTTATTTTGTCTCTTTAAAACCTCTTTTAAGGTATAAATATTGTCTCAAACAATAAGGGCTTCTACCCCTTATCTGATTCCCAAGTTTTTATTGATAAAAGAACAATTCGATAAACATGTCACATGATTGATGGAAAAGCACCAGAGAAGTGACCAGTAAGCTCCTTTCTCTGTCTCTCTGTCTCTCTGTCTCTCTGTATCTCTGTCTCTCTCTCCTTCCTCGATCTAAAAGCCCTAGCCTCTCTCTAAGGCCCTCCCTACTACTTCCTGTGTCCCTCTATACGTCCTTGGCCCTCTAAAACCTCTATGGCTAATTTAGGTCAGGAAGTAGCTCTGCCCTCTGATTCAAAGTAACTTTATTGCCAATCTTGTGAGTGCCAGAATGCAATGAAAATATCCCACAACAGTTTTTCTCTTAGAATTTTATTGAAAATAACCCTACGTGTAGACATCACTTCCCAGAGAAGGAAATGGTGAGAGACACTTCCAAGGGACTCATGAAGCACCAGTTTGGGGCTGTAAGCAATAATGGCCCTCATGGAGGTCTTTTAGACCTCCGTGCCCGGGATGACAGTTACAATGCCATGGAATACTAAAACCCAGCATGTCTGCCGCTTCTTTTGTTAAAAATGAAACAGTGTTGAAATAGCCCTGCAGCAAAATGAGATCATGAACACATTCATCGATGACTGGAAGACCCTAGCAGAGGAAGAAAGCACCTTCGGGGACAAGTCTGACACCCACCTTAAAGAGTACCAGTCCTTTACAGACCTTCACAGCACCATGGAGAAGATGATTACCTGTGTCTCGTGGCACCCAACCATCTATGGTAAGGGAGGAAAATGCCAGGGGTTCCCTTCTTTTTCTTTGAAAAAGTCTCACTTTAATATCTCAAACTAAAAATGAGATAGATTTCAGCTAAACATGGAAAACTTACTGAGTGCCGGGTCCCTGCCAAGCAAGCATTTTCCATACCTGCACTTGGGGGAGAGACTTGTCAGGTCACCGGGCGGCTGGGGCAGTAAATGAAGAAATCTGCCTCTGCCTGGAGCCTGCCCGACTCCCATGCCGGATTCACTGCCCCCAACACTCCAGACAGATCAGAGCTCAACAGCTAAAGGAAAAGCAATCAGCGTGTTCCAGGGTAGCCGTGAAAAGAGAAGTCTCTGCATACTTTCTCCCTTCCACCCCTCCTCGCTGCCATTTTCCTTACTAAAAAGTATTTCGTGAAGGCTGGAGAGAGGGCTCATTGCTCAAGAGCACATACTGCTCTTGTAGGAGACCAGGGTTCATCCCCAGCACCCACATCAGATGGCTCACCACCACTGTTAACTCCAGCTCTAGGGGATCTGACACCCATGTGCACATACCACACAGGGACAGACACACATAGACACACAATTAAAAATAAAATCTTCCGAGTAAGCTGTCTGTGCTAACTGCACACCTCAGTCTGAAACAGCTAAATTCTGAGTGCTGACTGCAACATTAAATCAGGGCTAGGACAAGCCCCAGGCGGACGCAGAACGCGTCTCTGCGGACAGTGGCCGCTCACTGCCTTTCAACCACTTGTGTCTCAACCAGGGCTCATAGTCGTGTCGGTGGCTGTGCGCCTCTCCTACGAAGAGAGAGTTCAGTTTTCCGGGAAGTTACTGCTGCAACCATCGTTGATTCTTTTCTGGAGTTTCTCCGATCCCATACACCCTCAGGTAACAGATGGGCGCTACACCAAAAGCTGAGCTTTTTCGGATACCCCGACATCATCGTGTCTTTAGGAAAAAAAAAGAGTTAACTGCGATTTATTTTATGATCTAATGTTGTAAGCCCTTAGAAAATAGAAAATAGGATTTCTTTCGTCACAGCTTGCCATCATGTAATCCGAGCCAGGCTAAACTCTACAGTTATTTTATGGGAATTATGCTGAGCCGGTCAACTTTAAAAAGTAAAGCTCTGGAGCTGGGGAGACAGCTCAGTCGGTGAAGTGTCCGCAGAAGAGCATGAAGACTGAGCTCATATCCTCACAAGCCGCGTAAAGCACCACAATGATTGTCACAACTGTAACCACGGTGCTTGGGATACAAGATCCAGGGTCTCTGGGGCTCACTGGCCAGTCAATTGAGGTCACTTGGTGACCTTCAGGCTCAGAAAAGACTGTCTCAAAACATAAGGTAGAGAAGCGGTTGAGGGCACCTGAGTCTACACACATACAGGCATGCAAATACACATATGTGCACACATGCATGCACACACATACATGCACACTCGCACATGTGCGCGCGCACACACACACACACACACACAATTCTTTAATGGGTTTTATTTGAATATTGAGAAGTTCCAATGCAGATAGTTTTGGTTTCCTAAGAATTTCCTCAATTCTAAGGATCATCAGTAGGGGTTGATAGTGAGTAGGAAGACCTGTGTAGGAGGGTAATTGGAGCAGCCATCCCAGAATAACTCTGTCTTTTCCTGGCAGCCCGTCATCAAGGAGGTCCAAAACATGGAACTGTGTATTCAACTCTTCAAACTTCAAACAGTTTAACTAAAACACACTCACATGAGCATCGTGCATACACATTCACACACACTCAAACCAAACCCCTTATCAACCCACATAAATGAGACTGGCAGCTGGGGTGCAGATGTTCTAGTGGACATGCATGTTCTGTTATAGGTGGTGCAGATGTTCTAGTGGACATGCATGTTCTGTTATAGGTGCAGATGTTCTAGTGGACTATGCATGTTCTGTTATAGGTGCAGATGTTCTAGTGGACATGCATGTTCTGTTATAGGTGCAGATGTTCTAGTGGACTGTGCATGTTCTGTTATAGGTGCAGATGTTCTAGTGGACATGCATGTTCTGTTATAGGTGATGCAGATGTTCTAGTGGACATGCATGTTCTGTTATAGGTGCAGATGTTCTAGTGGACTGTGCATGTTCTGTTATAGGTGATGCAGATGTTCTAGTGGACTGTGCATGTTCTGTTATAGGTGATGCAGATGTTCTAGTGGACTGTGCATGTTCTGTTATAGGTGATGCAGATGTTCTAGTGGACATGCATGTTCTGATATAGGTGCAGATGTTCTAGTTTACTGTTATATGCATGTTCTGTTATAGATGCACAGATCAGATAGTCCTTCACTTACTTTACCAGAAACTAGTGCAGGCCTCTCCTGAGAGACAATGTCCTGTTGCACAGGAGGACGCTGCTCTCCACTCTGCCATGGAATTGTGGCCTAATGTCTAGTCTAAGGTGTGAAATTACTTTCCTCGTCTCTAGTTTAAAGAATAGCTTGAAAAGGACAAGCATGGGCTATGGAGATGGCACTGTGGGTAAAGCAAGTGTGTGAGTGAGGATCTGAGTTCAGATCCCTAGCACTTAGGAAATCACTCGGTGGCTATGGCGACCTTCCTGGAATCCCAGTGCTTTGGAGGGGACCTTGAGACAAGTTGGATAACTAAAGATAGCTGCATAGCTGAGTTGACTCTGAGTCAAGTGAGGGGGCCTATCTCAATACATAAGGCAGAGAGTGATCAAAAAAGACAGTTGACACCAACCTCTGAGCTACACACACACACACACACACACACACACACACACACACACACACACACACATGGACGCACACCATACACATATGCACACACCAAAAAAATATGTACTTTTAAGGGATAGGTGATTTACATTTCCTAATCAAAATTATGATAGTATTAGTATTTTTACTTTTAGAAGTAGAGCTCTCTCTAAAATCCAAGAAGTTCCATAAACTAAAATAATTTTCCCAAGTATAGTTGAAAACTCCAGTTGGGCTGGGAATGGTAGTGTGATCCTTTAATCCCAGCACTCAGGACGAAGAGGCACCTGGATCTCTGTGGGTTCAAGGCCAGCCAGGTCTACACAGTGAGTTCATGGATAGCCAAAACTACATAGAAGTACCCTTCTCAAAGAAAAAGAAAGAAAAGGAAAATCAAGTTGGAAAACTTTGCCTGGGGTCTATCTTTTGGTGCTGAGGGTGGAAAATAATAGTCATGCATCTTGCTTGGTGGTAATATTAACTTAATGATTCCTGCATGCATATTTTTCATCTTCTGTATTTCATAGCATTCTAAAACTTGAAATAGTTAAGCAACATTACTTCCAGATTCTCCCACTCAGGTATTTTCTTTTTGACGGTCCACTGTGTGTCTGAGTAGATGCCACGGAGAAGAAAAACAACTAACTTACTCTCACAAGGGTTTGTCTGCTTACTCTTCAAAAGTCTCATATTCTTCTGTTATAAATATAACATATCCCCAATAATTTTTATCTTTTGGATGGGTGATGGACAGAACTGGATCCCTGAGGGAGCACAACCATCAGTTTCATAGGTGAGGCCAATGTCCATGAAAAATTCAACAGAAGTACCTCTGAAGGCTGATTTACGTGCACACTGCTGATAAACAGCTACAAAGTTAGACTTATACCCATGTCAATATTATTAATAGAGTTTCTTGTTCTTTTTTTGATTGATGGGGTTGACTTCAGTTGATGCTGGAGAGCCCGGATGACATCTTCTGCTTTGAGTTCTGTCCAAGTGACCCCAATATCATCGCTGGAGGCTGTATAAATGGACAGGTAATTGGAAATTGTCTTCAGATATTTATCGATGCTCTAAGAAGTTTGATTTTGGTAACTTTAGAACTTAAGGGATCAGTGTGGCACAGGGAAGGCAGGTTGGCCACATGTCAATCATTCTGTCAGGACTTGAGTAGGAAGTATGTCAGGCACAATATCGACACTTGAGGTGTTCATGGGTAATTCAGTCAGAATAACAAAACTCAGTTAAATGTACCTTTTTTCACATATGCAACCCTCGCCCACTTGCTTAGGGATTGACCTCTCAAGATGGGCTCTTTTACATCAATTTTAGCAATTTTTTAAAAATGCCTCATTGACATGCCCACAGGCCACTCTGACCCAAGCAACTTCTCTCTCTTCCCAGATGACTCTAGTTTGTGTCAAACTGACAATAAAAAAAAAAAAAAAAAACTAACCAATGCAAGCATCACTACCTCTTAGGAAAGAGAACATTGCTTGAATGTCCCTGAGGCTATGTAGGAATTACTAAATAATGCAGAATGCAAGTAGAAGTTCACTGGGAAATATTCATACATAAAAAAAATATTCATACATCATTGAATTTGGATGTAGCTGGTACTACGTTTCCTTTATTTATCTTCTAAGATAAATACTGTTGAATTCGGGAAGCCTTTCTATGGTCTAAGCTTCAAGTTATTTCAATGCAGTGAGTTTGACTATTAGAAACTTAACTTGGAACAAAGGATATAGCTAGAGAGTGTTGCCCAGCATGTGTGAAGCGTTGGATTTGACACCCCCCCCCCAGAGAATGGTGGCACACACCTGCACTCCCAGCACTTGGGAGGTGGAGGCAGGAGGATCCAGAGTTTAAGGTCACCCTTGGCTACATAGATAGCTCAAGGTCAGCCTGGGCTACATGAGACTCAATCCCAATTACTGAAATAGAATCAAGATATTTGTTTTTCCTGTGTGTGGCTGAGAAGACCTCTTTAGTTTAGATTCACACAGCTGCAGCTTCCAGGTGAATTTCTCCACAACTGCAGGAAAACAAACACCTCCCTGGCTTTTTCCCAACAGCTACTGAGATTGTAGTAACGACCCAGAGCCCTTTCCTAAGCCAAGAACATCTGAAGTCCTTTGTATTTGTAACAAAAACGGTATGCCATTGTTTTAGAATATTTTAGAGAAGGACACTGTGTAATAAAATCACTCATGAATCTCTGACATTGACATTCTGTTAACATATCATTTTGCGTACGGACATGCTAGTTAGCCACTGACAACTACCCTAGCTTGGTGGTGTATAGTCTACTTTGTTCTTGTTTTTACAAGAATAACCGTTAGGGTAATATACAAAGTCTGAGTTAGCAATTAGAGGCAATTAAGATGTCTGCCTTTCTTCCCTCATGATTGGATGTTTGTACTTAATTCTTGAGAATCTGGGTAAATTTTGCTTCTCCCCAGGTCTGAAGCAGCTATACGTAAACTCAGAGCAGAACACAGGATAAAATCTTACCATCGCATGTATGGAAGTGTATGGTATTTACCTTGCATTTATTTACTCAATAACAGCATTCACGGACATAGAGCACAGAGTTGCCAATACTGATGGAGAGATGAAAACATCCTCTTCGGTACCTGCGCTAGAAGTTTTCGGCTGTGTAGGCTACAGGCTAGACAGGGTTATGCCCTAAGGTGATGGATTTTTCTCGGGCTGTGTGCCAATCACTCCATGTCCTGAAAATGCTATGCTGACATTTCTCTCTGTTTTAGGTTGTCCTGTGGGATATCACCTCACATGCGGACCGCATAGAAAACATTAAGGCGGGTAGCAGCAGAAGTAAAAAGGCCACTCTCAAGGTTGGCCATCTGAGCTTTTCACTCTCGAGGGTGCTTTTATCCACTCAAGAGTTTATCAGAGACACACATAACAGACTCCCCCACGCTTTTTAAAGGCTCGGTATAAGAAATGTGGCAATAATGTTATTCTACCATCCCTCACATCTGCTTGTGGGCATGTCCTGGATCACTTTTTATGGAGGTGCTCACCAAAGACACAGCAAAGCAATTTACATTGTCTAGCACAATTTTATGCAGTTCTGTTGCTGTGTTCATTGTTTTAAAAAAAATGAAGGAAGCAGATGATTTGTCTAAAGATGAAAGGGTGGAAAGGCAGGCTATTCAGACGCTGTCTCATAGGCTTGGACATGCCACCTCGCCTCTCCAAGGGCCAGCTCAAATGTATAAGATGAAGGGGTGACGATGGGTAAAGGCACCTGTCACCAAGCCTGATGAGCTGAGGCCCATCCCTGAGACCCACATGGTGGATGGAGAGATCTGACTCCCTCAAGTTGTCCTCTGACTCCCACATGTACAAAGCAAATTAAATAATGCAAATTTTAAATTAAGAAAACCTGGTATGATTCTGTGAGTTTGTAGTAGTACTGGGAAGAACAGTCAGCCTCCAGGTCAGGACTCACCTTCCATATCACACATCCCTCCAGCCCCACTTCTCCAGTCTTGGGATCCATAGGGCTCTCTCTCACTGAGGAGTGGTAGGATGTACGCATCCCCGTACCCATGGAAACACTCCTTCAAGAATAGATTGGGTCTATAATCCTTGTGAAGTCTAGTGATTAAACTGCATTGAAAAGGCAAGTTGGTAAGTCCGTTACTAAATATATGGTATACTGAAACAGTAATTTGTGTTTTCCCTTAACTGATACAACTCTGGCAATAGCCAGTAAAGTGGAATTCACCCATCAGCTCTCTGAAATGCAACTTTGTTTGAACATTTCTCTAGCCTATGTTTCTCCTTGAACCAGACAGCAACAAGGAAGCAATGTACATCCGGCACTGTGCAGTGTCTTCAATAGAAAATGGACATAGGAAAGTAATCACAGACATACACTGGCTGCCAGACTCATTTGAGGTGAGTGTTGATGGCTGTGTGGGCGCTGGAAATCAAACCTCGGTCCTCTAGAAGAGCAGCCAGTGCTCTTAACCACCAAGCCATCTCGAACCCGAATTCTGCTAGGGGTGTGTGTGTGTGTGTGTGTGTGTGTGTGTGTGTGTGTGTGTGTGTGTTATCCTGGACCTGCTTTGAACTTATTATGTAGTCAAGGATGGCCTTTCTGATTCTCCTGTGAGGGCTACAGATGTGTACCATGCGCAGTTGATGTGGTGCAGCTGGAGGTCAAACCAGGGTTCTGGGCACACTTGGAAAGCACTGTACCAACCAAGCTATTCTCAGTCCCTGTTTAGGTTATAAAATATTTTTTCCTAGCTTCTGAAATAGTGTTGTGGTTTTAAGAGTTTGCTCTAGCTTCCTCTCTGATGCTGTAATAAAATGCTTTGACTAAACCACCTTAAGGGAGGACATGGTAGGAAGCTGAAGCAGAAACTTGGAGGAATCCCACTTGCTAGTTCCACCACTGTCTCCTTCTTGGGCTCACGCTTAGACAACTTTCTTGTTTTGTTTTTCATTTGTTTGTTTGTTTCCACACAGGGTTTCTCTGTGTAGCCCTGGCTGTCCTGTAACTCACTCTGCAGACCAGGCTAGCCTCGTACTCAGAGAGATTCGCCTGGCTCTGCCTCCCAAGTGCTGGGATAAAGGCGTGCACCACCGCAGCCAGGCACTATACAGCCCAGAATCACCTTCTTAGAGATGGTTCTGCCCACAGTGGGTTGGGCTCTCGGGTACCAAGGAATGAGATAATTTCCTACAGACATGCCCATATGGATGCCAACTGGGTCCAGGCAGTTCCCCAACCAAGGCTTTCCTTTGAGTTGACTCTAGGCTGTTTTGAGTTGACAAAGATAATCCAGACAGAGTTATAAATCTTTAAAATGTAAGGCCACAGAGTGATGAATCTCTGAGACCCTCAGGGTGGCCTCAGTAGATAGAGGGAGAGACTCTTACCCTATCAAATCCAATGGAAGTCAACATTCAGCACACAGCCAGAAAGCTGGTGTGACACCTACAGAACTGGCTACAACCTCTCATTGTCACTCGGCCCTGCTGGAAGCCCGTGACAGGCCACTCTCTCACTCATGGACCCTAGCAAGACAAGACATTAGTGAGAGACACCGGCACAAGTTGCTCCCAACTTTAGCCTCCTTAACAAGTAGTTAGTGGGGACTCTGGACCTTGGAAGACCGTGAGAGGAGCCTGAGGACCCTCTGTGTGCTTACAGAGTTATCAGTTATCTGACAGTGGACACCATCAGTTTCCTCTGTTCTTTTATTCTCCTTTAAAAACAATTGGGGTTTAGGGGCCCAGGGTCTCTCTGTGTAGCCTTGGCTGTTCTGGGACTCTCTATGCAGACCAGGAATTAAAGGCATGTACCACACTTCCCAGCTACCATCAGCTTCCTCTTCTCTTGAGCTTAATTGTTTAAGAGTCTCCTGAAATCCATATTGGGCTCCACAATTGATAATGAAAAACTGAAAGGCCAGCATTTCTCCAACCAGTGAATAGTGAAATGATGTACATCATCTGCATTTTACAATCCATTAGAACAATTTGTGAATGTGCAGGTAAAATTCAAGCTATGTGAATTGGAAAACCTGAGAATTGGCATCGATATGCATTCTAATTAAACTATATAAAAATATAAAATATATAAAAATGTAAAACTATATGAAAACTCTAAAATTATTTCTGTGAACAGGGAGCAGATAAGAATTCAAAGTAGAGTTGTATTTGATCTTAAAAACCCAGATTCCAAATGTCTATGATAGTATTAGCAATATTTTAACAAAATATTTCTAAAGAAAAAAAAATTTAAGGAAAATAACCACGAGAAAAATCATCTCCAGCTCCTCAGAATTCACTTTTTTAACAATAGTTTTTATGCTTTGAGAATCGTATGTATGTATACCTGATGAAACTATGATGGCTAGCGGCCAGAGGCACCCTTAGAAGGAACCTACTATTATTCATTTACAGAACGTTCTTTTTTTTTTAATTTATTTTTTTCTTATTTTATATATCGACCCCAGTTCCCTCTCCCTCCCTCCCTCCCATCCCATTCCCCCCAGAACTTTCTTTTCTTAAAAATGTTTAAACAGATTAACAGAATGGGCTCTGTCTTTGAAAATCGGAATGGGATAAATTGTCAGCTCGTCACATGCTCTGCAGACTGGTAAGTGTCAGATGTCTGAGTCCCTTCGCAAGCTGTGTTTGTATCACTTCGGTGTTCCTAAAACCGATGTTTCTTTCCGCCCATACAATGACATACATAGGTTATCAGGGCCATTACCCTAGTATAACTGAGAGTCGCATAGACTGTCGCTGGTAGTGATGTTGCTGCAATGTAAAACAAACCATTTTGACCTGGAGCGGCATGGTGTGAGCCTCTAATCCCCACACTCAGGAGGTTCCAGTGGGCCAGGACCCGTGAGTGGGAAGCCAAGTAGTCTGCAAAGCAAGTTCTGGGCCAAAAGAAAACAACAGAGCCTTCTGTTGCAGAGAAGTCTGGAAACAGTAAGAAAACAGCAGACAGCAAGAAGGCTTAGCTGGTAAAAACCCTCGGCAAAAATGCCCGAGTTAGAGTCCTGGAACCCAGGATGGAAAGGGATAGCCAAGGCTCAGCAGTTGTCCTCTGCCTGCCACACATGCCAGGCTTGTGCTCAGACACGCATGCACACAACATAATAACAACAACAGTAATAACAGTAATAATAGTAGTAAAGAAAATACTTTTAGAAGACAGATAGATGGTTAACTGTGCTTTGCCATTGATATCAGTGCATATCATTATCCATGGTTATTCTGCATCTTCATACCCCATATTTGGAACTTTATGATATATGCTGTTTAATTCAGTTTATCTCACAGATGTTAGGGAAGCCTTTTTAAAACTAGAAGAGTGTTGGTATAATTTGATGGCCATGTCATTCATTCAGATAAAATTATATCTGCCCATCTATAGAATTAATAATTCATAGCAATATAGGAAATGTAATGCTTATCTAGATTAGTAATGCTTATCTAGCCTCCAAATGCTGGGGGGAGGAACTGCTATTAAAAACAGCTTTGTAGCCTCATAATCAAAGCACTCAAAAGACTAAAGCCTAAGAATTATGGATTAGGTCCTGCCTGAGGTCCTGTTTGTTTTTTAAATCTTTGAAGCTGGGTGTTGCTGTTGTTGTTGTTTTACTCTTTCTTTTGGTTCTTTGGAGGACCTGCCACCCAGGTCCCAAATAAATACACAGAGGCTTATTCTTTCTTATGAATGCCTGGCTTTACTTAGCTTGGCTTATTTCTAGCCAGCTTTTCTTGACTTGAATTATCCCATCTATCTTTTTTTACCCTTCTCTATTCTGTATACCCTTCTTGACTTCTTGCTCCATGGCTCGCTATGCAGCTGGGTGGCTGGCCCTGATGGCCCCCTCTTCCTTTCTCCTGCTCCTCCTGTTTATTCTCTCTGCCTGCCAGCCCTGCCTATCCTTTCTGAATGGCTATTCGCCATTTTTGGCTGGACTCAGACTTGGAAGTAGACGCTCTCAGAGAGGACAGCCTACGTCTTTTGGTGATCTGTTCCTGGAGCTTTTCTTTTGCTTCCTTTATTCTCTTGGCCAAAAGTTTAGCATCTTCTGCAGCCTCCTCCTTGTTTTTCTTTGTACGTTGTTTCTTCAGAGCAATACGACGGCGTTTGTGTTGCAGGACACGTGGAGTAACAAGATGCTGAATCTTGGGTGCTTTGGTCCTGGGCTTCTTACCTTCTTTGTTTAAAGGCTTCCTCATGACATATTGGCGGACATAATCTTCTTTAGAGAGATTAAAAAGCTTTTGGATTCTGCTAGCTCTTTTAGGTCCCAACCGACGAGGAACAGTAGTATCTGTCAGTCCAGGAATATCCTTCTGACGAGGAACAGTAGTATCTGTCAGTCCAGGAATATCCTTCTCTCCTTTTTTTACTATGACCAAGTTGAGAACGCTCAGATTGGCATCCACGATGCATCCTCGAACAGACTTGCGCTTCCTCTCTCCAGTTTTCCTTGGTTTATAACATGAATGTCCCTTACTTAACAGCAGGCGCACTTTGCCATGGGTCAAAACACCTTGCTTCATGGGAAAACATTGTTTGTCATTCCCACCACTGATTCGGACCATGTAACCCACTCTTCACCCAGAGCATCAGCAGCTACTTCTGTGGTCATGCGCTTCTCATAGAACGTACGAAGCTTGCGCTCATCGTCCACTTCGATGAGCTTCTGGCAGCCTGTGGCGGGGAAGGAGATATTCAGCTTCATCTTTGCACCCCATTCAACTCTTGATTAGATCAGCTTTATTACAAGCAAAGTAACACAGCTTCACAGAGTTTAAAAATGCAACACCAAAAAAAAATGAAACACATATTTGCATCATTAAACAAATATTCCATAGCATAAACAAATGTAACACATATTTAATTCCATAACAGGGTGTGGTGGTGCACACCTTTAATCCCAGCACTTGGGAGGAAGAGGAAAGTAGATCTCTTTGAGTTTGAGGCCAGCCCCTGTCTGCATTATGGGTTCCGGGACAGTCAGAGCTACACAGTGAGAATCCAAAGAACAAAAGCAAAAAAATCCTTTTTATGGACAGAAATAATGACACATTATGCAAGGAAAGCTGGCAGGAGCAGAAGCTTTAGATCCGAGAGAAGGCATTGGGGTCTTTAACAAACACTGTTAAAATTATGCTTTAATGGATTAACATATTATATATGAGCTGTATCTTAACAAAGCATTTATATTCCCTTTTAAAGTCTTCAGTTTCCAAACTGAATCCTCGTGTATTACCATCAAGATACCCATAAGCATGCTGTGACTTTGCAAACTATGAAACATGGTGCTGGAAAGACGACTCTGTACTGACTGCTCTTGCAAAGGTCCTAGGTTCGGTTTCCAGCACACACATGCAGCAGCTCACCACCTCCTGTAACTCTAGCTCCAGGAAGGCTGGGGCTATCTTCTAACCTCTGCACTCAGGGTCAGAGTCAGGTATGGTGATATCTCGGCTTGTACAAATAAAGCCTGTCTGAAGGTCAGAGAATGAAGCTTGTCACTAGCCAACCATAGAGGTCTGGAGGTCTGTACAGACAGGCAGGAAGAGAGATAGCTGGGCAGAAACAGAAACTCATTCTCTTGTCTGCTGAGAAGCTAAGGAGGTAAGGTCTGTAGCTGTGGCTTGTTCCTTCTTCTCTTTAATCTCTCAGCATTTTCTCTATATCTAACTCTGGGTTTTTATTATCTAGAACAATTAAGAACTCCATTTACAAATAATGATAATAATAATAATGAACTTTCTTTTAGCACAATATGTTTTTGGGACATTCGACCTCAAAAACCTACAAGCTCAGCCGCAACTGCAACCACAACCACAACCACAACAACAACCACAAACAACTCCCAGCAACCAGCAGCAGAGAAGAAGAAAGAAGAAACCATTGAAATTCCCTTTGACGTGCCATCAACTTTCTTACATCTGGATCTCTCCTGGAAACCCCTGTCTAGAGTAAGTAACAAGGTCTTTACTCCACCTACACACTACATCTTCTGCACAGATCACACCCACGCACCCACCCTCCAAATGAAGAGGGGTTCAGATTAACACGGTACCTCAACATTCGTGGATCCGTTCATTCAGCCAATAAACTCCTGACTGAGGATGACCGATGCCGACCTGCAGCCCAGACAGACACCCTCATCACAGAGAACTAGGGGTTGGTACTTCTCGAGTAAGTGAGCTACAATTTACAAACAGGTGTGTGATTGGTTCCTTGAAGATTGGCAGCTGCTCAGGTGGACCCAGGAGAGTTAGTTTTCCCCACACCCATAGGAAAAGTATGAGCAGTAAGAAATGATACTATAATACTGCCAACCACACAGAGCCTAGAAGTCACTGAATAAGAAGTCGCCTGTATTTAACGTGAGTCAAAGAGCATGGCAGTAGATGGGGGCGTGTGGAAGGTGTGTGGAGGTCTTTAGAATAATTTGACTCCCAGACTTAATATCTTGTGATTTATGAATATCCCATCAATATCACTGGGTGTTTGGTCCTGGAAAAGGAGCTTGGAGGGGCGAGACTATTTCTGAAATCAACTGGGAGGGAACAGGAAAGAGAACATTAATAATTGTCTGGAGTAGGATGCTGAACAGATGGATCAGTGATTAGGAGCAGTTGGGGCTCTTTGCAGAGGATGCAGGTTCAATTCCCAGCACCCATGTGGTGGCTCGACAACCATCATTGACTCCAGTTCCAAGATATCAGATGCCCTCTTCTGGCCTCTATGAACACCAAACATACACATGGTACACAAACATACATATGGGCCAAATACCTATACACATAAAATATTTTTAACAATCTAAAAGAGTTTTTTTTTTTTTTAAGAAAGAAAAGAAATTGTCTTGAGTAAGATTTACTGAGATGTGGACAATTTAAGCAAAACAAATTAATATGCAAAGTACCAAAAACTAAAGGCATTGCAAGTGGATAAACATACAGAGGGGGAGAACTGGGGAGAGAGACATGGAGGAAGAACCCTAACGGCCATTTTTCATTCTGGCCATGAATGCACTATGCCAGCACAGGGCCACAGCTGTCATTCAGGGTAAAATGTGTCCCTGATGGGACCAGCAGGCATCCAGGGAGATGCCAGGTCCCTTTGTGGAACTTCATTCTACTGAAGGATGTAGGGAACAGGGAACTAAATCATTATTCAACATTACAACTCATAAAGCTGACTTTTGGAATATGATATAAAACATATAAAGAAAGGAAATAACACTTTGAGACTGGGAAATATGTCTCCAGGCAAGCTTCCCTCGGTGCTTTCCGTGGAGAGAGCAACTGGAATAAAGGAAGAGGGAATAAGAAGGTAAGTTTCTTACCATCTAGGAGCAGAAGGGACAGGCAAAGAAAAATACTGCGAGGATTTTCTAAGAATATAACTTTGTTTTATGTTCTTCCGGCAGATAAAACTATCTAAGGGAGAAACGAGCTTAGACCACTGTCCAACCAAGTTGAGCCTGAGTGAAGACCCCCTTCTTTGCAGAATACAAGGTAGCTAACCACCTTTGTTCATTAAAAGCGCCCCCAAAAGTTCCTATGGTAAAATTTCTAAGGTTTGTTTAAACGAAGGACATCTAAGAAAAGCCTTTTTTTTTTCTTCTTTTTTCTTAATGTAAGTAATGCCCAGCTAGAGCAGACCTGTGCTGGAGGAAGGAATCTGGATTCGGGGACATTTTTAAAACATAGCCTGATTGTTTTCCTTTGGTTGGACCCACGGATTTTAAAGGAACTAGGGATTCTCCTCTTCTTCCTTGTATTCCATTTATCCATCATTATCCATAGAGTTCCTGCTGTGGGTCAGGGATTGTGCTAATCGTGTGCATTCTCTCATTCTGTGGGTCAGGGCAAGCAAGGATTAGCACAGTCCCTGACCCACAGAATGAAGGCATGTGCATGATTAGCATGCCTTCTCTAACTCTCAGCATCCCTTCAGACCCCACCTTGGAAGTGCTGAGGTTGCAGATGCCAAGCTCCACCTCCAACCCTATTATCATTTTCTAAGGCGGGGTAAATATAAGTAGTCATAAAGTAGATAGATTACTCACATATCTATGACTACTTATACTTACCCAGTTTTTAAAAGAAATTATTTATCCAGTTTAGAGTATGAATATTACTACACTTTTTAAAGTGTGAAGAGTTTTTATTGAGCTTAATAATTTTATTTGGAAAAATAGAGGTAAGGTGTATTGCGCATTAGTGGGAGTTTGGGTGGCTCACACATGCACACCTAGGGAAACCATCCTCGCAGCCAGCAGCCACCTCGTTGAGCCTGCACGCTCCTCACACTCAGTTCTCCCACAGCAGTTCCCTTTGTCATCTGTCCTAACTTCCTGCCACTGTACAGCTTTATATGAATTATTGAGAGTATGCACTCCCAGTTTTAGCTAGCTGTTTGTTGTATTTGGCTTCTAGGGGACAGGTTCCCACTGTGTATCCCCAGGCTGGCCTCCTGCCTCAGCTTCCCTACTGCTAGGATTACACGTGGGCACTCCCACACTCAGCTTTGGATGGGCTTTTTCAATTGGGAACATTACTTAAACAGATTTAGCCATGTTATCTACGTCCCTAGTCCGTTCCTTTTCATACAGGCCCTCCTAGTTTGACTCTCTGTTGCTGTGATAAAACACCATGGCCCAACCATACCTTGGGGAGGGAAGTCCGTCACCCAGAGAAGCCAGGGGAGGAGCCCAAGGCCAGCACCTGGAGGTGGATACTAAAGCAAGAATTCCTGGAAGAACCCTGCTTATCAAGACTTGTTTCCTCAGGCCATGGTTAGCCAGCTTGCTTGTACAACCCAGACCCACCTGCCTAGGCATGGTACCGCCCACAGTGGGCTGGGCCCTTCCACGTCAATGTAAAAGTTTTAAAATGCCCCAGAGACACGCCTACAAGTCTTTCTGTTGGATGTGATACTTCAACTGAGGTTCCCTCATCCCTGGTGTCCAGCTGGCAGCCAGGATCAGCCACCACACAGACTAACTGGTTGTGTGGCTGTGCCCACTAGCAGTGTGCAGTCCAAGTGTCCTCACTGATGCAGCGATGCAGTGTTTTCAGTGTAGCGCTTCTAAGTGTGTTTTGCACTGCAGTGTTGTAAGGAGTAAGGCTTTTCCTCCCGCCACTTGGTCTTATCCCGCCGCCGCGCCAGCCACAAATAACGCACAGAGACTCTGTATTTGATACAATACTGTTGGCCAGTTACTTGTTTCTTATCGGCCAGCTCTGTCTTAATTATTAACCCATTTCTATGTATTTCCACAATGTCTTACCAGCGAGAGGCGGCTGGTGGTTCTCCTTCTCCAGACTCTCCATCTTGACTCCTCCTTCCTACTTCCTCTTTCCTCCTTGTCTCCTAGTCCCGCCTATCTTGCTTTCCTATTGGCCAACAGTGCTTTATTCATTAACCAGTATGAGAAACATAGTTACAGAATCACATCTCCCATCACAGTGTCTGTCTCGCTCACCTGACTAGGGACCTTGTATGAATTTCTTAGGTTCCTCCTTGTACCCTAGCTTCTCTGGCGATGTGAATTGTAGGCTGGCGATCCTTTGCTCTATGTCTAAAATCCATATATGAGTGAGTACATACTGTATTCCTCTTTTTGTGACTGGGTTATCTCACTCAGGATGGTTTCTTCAAATTCCATCCATTTGCCTGTGAATTTCAAGATTCTGTTATTTTTTTTCTGCTGAGTAGTATTCCATTGTGTAAATGTGCCACATCTTCTTTATCCATTCTTCAATTGAGGGGCATCTAGGTTGCTTCCAGGTTCTAGCTATTACAAATAATGCTGCTATGAACATAGTTGAACAGATGTCTTTGTTGCATGGATGTGGATCATTTGGGTATATGCCTAAGCTGGGGATTGCTGGGTCCTGTGGTAGATTGATTCCCATTTTCCTGAGGAACCACCATACTGATCTCCAAAATGGCTGTACGAGTTTGCACTCCCACCAGCAGTGGAGGGGTGTTTCCCTTTCTCCACATCCTCTCCAGCATAAGCTGTCATTGGTATCAACAGGTATTTCTTAAACTCTCACAAAGCCCCAGGCTCTGAGAACACAAATGTGAAAAAGACAGGTCTCACGGCTGATGAGATGGCTTAGCCCTTGAGAGCACTTTCTGCTCCTCTAGTAGATGCCAGTTGAGTTGATAACATCCACATCAGACAGCTCACAGCCACCTAACTCCAGTTCCAGGCTCCGGGACACCCTCTTTTGGACTCAGTGGGCATCTGCAGTTATGTGTGTGCCCACATTTACACTCACTCACACACAAACACACACACACACTTTGAAATAATAAATCTTGCCTGGCATTGGTGGTGCACACCTTTAATCCCAGAACTCAGGAGGCAGAGGCAGGAGGATCTCTGTGAGTTCCAAGCCAGCCTGGCCTACAGAGAGAATTCTAGGACAGGCTCCAAAGCTACAGAGAAACCCTGTCTCTAATAATAATAATAATAATAATAATAATAATAATAATAATAATATATTTTTAAGCTAAATCTTTCCTTTCATAGAGCTAATGTCTGGTGGGTCAGACATAAAATACATTTGCATGCATTTAAGGAAAACCCTATTTAATATAAGCAGCTTATAGAACACTCTTAGTTGTTAAACAAGCCATCAAATGGTGTCTTTCTGGACAACATTATTTTATAAGTTGTTCTTAAAGAGAAACATTTGGGATAAATTGCATCACAGAAAGAACAGGCATGTTTCCAGCAGAGACACTAGTGGGCCATCCAAAAATTCTTGTTGTAGTCAGTTCCACGATTGGCCACTTCCTGTCTTCTGTGTGAACAGCCAGCTGTAAGAAATTTATTAGCCATTACTTGTGGTTTGGGCACACTGTTGGCTATGCACGAATTCTGGCTGGCCTCGGATCTGCTTAGTAGAGTGCACGCATAACTTTCCTGTGAGGAGCTGCCTATTGATGGAACACCAGCTACCTTGACCATGAATTTCACACCCCATTGAACCTTCTCAGTTTTCTGGTATTCTGTCGCCATCTAGTGACCAAGGACCACTTGCCTTTTCCCACCATTTTAGAAAGCACGAGTGTTGGTGGTCCTAGATGTAGGTCAATAACTTCAAGAAATACTGTATTATTTTTAATTGAAAATATATTCTTTCATATAATATGATCATGGTTTTCCTAGCCCCAACTCTTGCCAGATCCTCCCCCACACCTCCATACCCACCCAAATCCACAACCTTTCTTTCTCTCTCATTAAAAAACAGGCCACTAGAACAAACAAACAAACAAACCAGAATAGGAAAAAACAAACAAGCAAACAGAAAAAAAACAAGGAGCCAAAGAAAAAGAACAAGAAACACATAATGGATGCAGACAGAGAGAGAGAGAGAGAGAGGGAGGGAGGGAGGGAGGGAGGGAGGGAGGAAGGAAGGCCTAGACAAAGCATTCAAAAACCCTAAACTCCAAAAATATCATTGAGTTTGTTTCCAGGTTGGTCATCTAGTGTGGGCCTGCCCTGAAGTGTGGTTTGTCTTTCCAGTGAGACTCCAATAGAGAAAACTATGTTTTCCTTTGTGAGCAGTTGTCAATGGGAAGTGGCTTCTGGGTTAGGTATGGAATCTTGTGTCTACTCCCTGGCTTAGCCCTCTGCAGGCCCAGAGCATGGTGCCACAGTCTCTGTGTTCATGTGTTGTGCAGGCCCCATTGTGTCTAAAAGGCCTTGTTTTCTTGATGTCTTCCATCTCCACTGCAATCTTACAAATTTTCCACCTGTTCTTCTACTAATTTCCCTGAATCCTGAGGGGAGGGATTTAATGAGACACCCCATTTTTGACTGAGCATTCCAAGGTCTCTCACTCTCTGTACATTGTCCAGTGTGGGCCTCTGTATTTGTTCCCATCCACTGTAAGAAGAAGCTTCTCCGATGATGGCTAAGCAAGAAACTGATCTATGGATACCACAAAATGTCATTAAGAATAATTTTATTGCTGTATTCCTTTAGCAGAGCAGTAGTATTTGGGTTTTCCTTAGGTTTCTGGCCTATCTAGTCTCAAGTTCTTGGACTGCCAAGAATGTCAGGCATGGGTTCCATCTGATTATGGCCCTAAATATAATTAGATAGTGATTGTTTGCTACACAGTGTTTGCGCCACTACTGCAGACAGGCCATCATTGCAAACTGAAGCTCTTGTAACTGGGTTGGTGTTCTGTAAAGAGCGGTTTTTCCCGCCGGTCTGGACCCAACGCCGAGCCAGCCCCAAATAACACACAGAGACGCTGTATTAGATATAAAGCTGTTGACCTGTTACTAGTTTCTTATAGGCTAGCTCTGTCTTAAATATTAACCCATTTCTATCAATCTAAGCATTTTCACGTGGTCTCATTTTACCGGAGAGAGAGCCTGGCGTACTACCCTGTAGGCCCTCCAACTTGAATCTCCTCTATTACTTCCTGAAACCTCCTTGTCTCCTAGACCTGCCTATCTTGCTTTCCTATTGGCAAACAGTCCCTTATTCACCAACCAATGCAAGAAACATATTTACAGAATGGCATCTCCCATCAGTGTTCACCTTTCTCCTCTAGTGGCATGCAGAATACCTTCCAATACGGTGACACTGATCAGTACAGGTGAAGGCTCTAGGTAGACACCAGCTAGCTCCCTTTTCCACGAGAAAGTCTGTATGTATTTTAAGGCTTTACTCTAATAGCATCTGAATTCTTTTAAAGAATTACTTTAAATTCTTTGAAAGCCTGCCACACACTTTTTCAGAAGTGGCATAGAAGTTGGGAGTGGATTCTGCCACTGATGGTCTGTGTTTAAAGTTTCAAAGCCACAGTTCATTGTTTGGCCAAGTAAACGACTGTGCCTGTCCATCCATGCCTTAGCTCTATCCCATCTGGAAGGAAAGATGAAGAGGTAAAAGGAATACATAAGGGAGGTGACTGGCTCATAGGACAGGTTAATACAGTGTCTGGCCCGTAGTAAGTGGTCAATAAAAGTCAATTGCAAGAATCACTAACTCCAGAGACTGAAGCTCAGTGGCACATAATGATAGCTTTTTGTTCACTACATGCCCAAGGTTATCCCACTCAAGAGCTTTGAGTTCACTAAATACCCAAGGTTATCCCACTCGAGTCTGAGTAATCGCAATTGGTGGAAGCATCTCTCTCTGGCCTCCTTGACTTCACAGCACGAAGTTGTTGTACTGAGTCACCAAGATGACTCAGCAGGTAGGGTGTGTGTAGCAGTGTAGCCTGAAGACCTGGGGTCAATCCCATGGTGGAACAAATTTCTGAAACGTGTTCTCTGACTGTCATACTCTTGCTGTGCACGTGTGCCTACACACACACACACACACACACACACACACACTTTGAAATAATAAATCTTGCCTCCAGAACAGCGGTCCCTTACATCGCTTGCGCGCTTCGCTCTGATGTGTAATGTAGACTATGACGTAGTTGGTGCTGGCCTAAAAAGGACGAGGGCTACTGCTGAACTGAAGCCTGCTGAGCCTTGGACTTACTCACTGCCATGTTGGGGAAAGGATGGATGGAACAGAGCATGCAAAGGAAACTATAATACATATGTTAAAAGATCTGTCTCTCTCAACAGGTACTTCTTCTATCCACGTTCTTCTGAAAGACAAGGTGTTGAACCAGGTCAAAGCGCTGAAGACAGCAGAAATCAACCCCTACCACAATCTGGAAGCTGGGATAGTGAACATTCTCAAGCCCATAGAAGACTTCAACACCAAGTTCTTTGTGGGAACAGAGGTAGACTAGGATTGTCTGGTTTTTAAATTACAGCCCCCATTGTTACATTCTTATAACCTTTACTTCTTTCTTTTTACATATTTGCTGTTTGAAGGCATTTTCACGTTTTAATGCGTGCATTTATATTTAAGATTTCTAACTTAGATGCCCCGAAGACTCAGGTTTGGAATCTCCTTAATGGGCTGGGGATGTCGTCAGCCATGAGCTGCCTAGCACGCACAGGGCCCTGGGCTCTGTAGCAGCACCACACAGACCAGGCTTGACAGCGCATGGGCAGGTGGAAGAAGGAGGCGGGAGGGTCACACGTTCAAGGCCACCTGGATGCAGGTGACTGAGAATCAGTTGTCACGGCAGGACCACTCACTGTGACAAAGTGAGTTCTGTCTCTTTCCCATTTGTGTGGCTGCCTCGTCTGCTGCTTCCCCATGAGCACCAGACTGTACAATACCTAAATCCGAGCTGAGGTCTGTGCCTCTCGTTCTCGGCATTAAAAGGTAAATGCTGTGATGCGTCTTCCGCTCTGTCTTATTCCAGGTCTTTACCAAGTCCTGACTTGGTTAAACGCTGAGAACGAATCACCGAATGACCCTAACTTGCTCTCACCACCACCACCCCACATCCTCAGACAGTTAGGAAAGCCTAAACATAACAAGTCTCCACAGCTGCCCGTGTTACTCACGCCGCTACGTGCACATAAAGCAAACTCAGTTTTGTTTTGTTTTTTATTTCATCTTGAAATCAAATCCAGTAACAACTTGGAGCCTCTCTTCCCTCCTGGTATACTGGATTCTCGTGTGACTAAGCTGACTTGTTGCCTTTATTTGTCTTTGTGCCCTGAGTCTTAGCACTGAACCATGGGAATATGGGTTCTCTTGCCAGTGAGCTTATCATTGCATTTATCCAGAACCTGTTGCCTTTCCAGGAAGGTGAAGTGATATACACAGACTGGAAAATGGAGAGAGACTCAGAAACCGGACGATTCATGGGTAAGTTTGATGGACTAACCTGATATTAAAGTCTTCCTTTTGTTATTAGTATATTTAAGTATACATGATAATGGGATTCATTGTGGCATTTTCACATGCATTTAAGATGCATTTTTATCATCTTTGCTCCTCATTGCCCTCTCCTATCGCCTCCAACTCCCATTGATCCCCCTTGGCCTCCCTCCTAGTCCCCTTTAGTTTATTTAATGTCCCAATGAGTTTCACAGGGCTTCCTTACATGGTCTTGGTGTTAAGGGTTATTTACAAGAGCATGGGCCAGTTTTACATCACTGAAGAGATGTCACATCTCCTCCAGCCACCATTAACTATCTATAGATATTCAGGACGTGGCGGGGCTTGGTGAGCCCCTACGTGACTGAAAAACCATCATCTGCCTGTGGTTCCTCAGGGGCACTGGGGCCTTGTGGGTCATCTCTCCCTCTTCCCAGTACCAACTCCAACAGGCCCAGCCGTGCCCAGAGGTTATGCTAGTGGTCAGGAATGCTGTGAGATCAACCGTGTAATCACAGTGTGTGTTCTGAAGTCCACCTCCTACCTCACTGTGTTCCTTTCCTCAACCTTGCGTTCCTCCTGGGAAGCTCCCTGAGCCTTGGCGATGTCGCTATAGTTAGCAGGCAACTCATGGATATTCGCTCTAGGATGTATGCTCCGTGCCAGACTCTATGTATCATGATAGCAGCCTTCATTCCTTTGGCACTCTGGAGAGGACGCGATGCCATGACAAACATGAATTCCTCCTGGCCTCGAACATTCTCCTGTGGTCCCATCTCCTCTCACAGGCAGCTTTTGAAACTATTTAACCGTGGAAAATTACAAGCATTTATTTTAAATGAATTTTACCCCATTTGTATGCTATGGATCAGGCAATGGCGACAGTAGATGAGGAGGAGCTGTCCTCCTCTGACCTGTTAGAAAGGCAAACAGATGTTAGCATCATGGTTAGCAAACAGAAAGATGCAGAAGTCCAGAGGGGAACAGTCCTTCTTGGGATGTTAAAAAATGGTCCCACTTGGACCCACAGTTGAGGTGAGTCATGTCTTCGTCTATGTTCTACTGCTGTGGAGAAACAGCATGACCACAGCAACTCCTTTATTATTATTATTATTATTATTATTATTATTATTATTATTATTATTATTTTACATATCGATCCCAGTTCCCTCTCCGTCCCTCCCTCCCATCCCATTCCCCCCATCCCATCCCCCCCCAAATCCACATGTAGGGTGATGCCTTCCTGAAGGGGTCATCTAAATCTGTCAAGTCATTTGGAGTGACTAGGACTTCTCTTCTGTCTCTAGGTTAAGGGAGCATCCCTCCATGGGGGTTGTAACCCCAAAGTCCTTTTGTGCACCAGGAATACATCCTGGTTCCACTGTCTGAGGTCCCTTAGACTGCCCAGGCCTTCTAACTGAGACCCATATTCAGGGGGTCTGAGACAGTCCCATGCTGGATTCCCAGCTATCAGTCTGGGGGCCCCTTAGCTCCTCCTTGTTCAGGTCAGCTGTCTCTGTGGGTTTCTGTAGCCTGGTCTTGTCCTCCCTCTCTGCATCTGGATTCCAGTTTGGCTCAGTGTTTAGCTGTGGGTGTCTGCTTCTGTTTCCATCAGCTACTAGATGAGGGGGCTCCATGATGGTGGATACGTTAGTCATTGATCTCATTATCAGGGAAGGGCATTACTGTAGCCTTTCCACTGTTGCTCAAATTGTTAGTTGGGGTCAGTCTTGTAGGTCTCTGGACTTTTCTCTAGAGTCAGTTTTCTCTTGAAACCTATAATGGCTCCCTCTTTTATGTTCTTTCTCTCTCTCTCTCTCTCTCTCTCTCTCTCTCTCTCTCTCTCTCTCTCCACTCATCTATTCTTCCCCTGACTTTCCTCTCCTCCCCTTCTCTTTCTCCTAGTTCCCTCTCCACTACTCCCCACCCCACTCCCCATATGCTCAGGAGAACTTGTCCCTTCCCCTTCTGTGAGGGACTTTATATGAATCTCTTAGAATCCTCCTTGTATCCTAGTTCTCTGACGGTGTGAATTACAGGCTGGTGATCCTTTGTTCTAGGTCTAAAATCCATATATGAGTGAGTGCATACCATGTTCCTCTTTTTGTGACTGGGTTACCTCATTCAGGATGGTTTCTTCAAGTTCCTGCTACGAACATAGTTGAACAGATGTCTTTGTTGCATGAATGTGGATCATTTGGGTATATGCCTAAGCAGCTCTTACAAAGGAAAACATTTAGTAGGGGCTGGCTTACAGGTTCAGTGGTTTAGTCCATTATCATGGTAGGAAGCATGGTGGCATGCGGGCAGACATGGGACTGAAGAAGGAGCCGAGAGTTTGATATCTGCATGGGCAGGAAGCAGGAAGAGAGAAAAACACTGGGTCTTGCTTGAGCATTTAAAACCTCAAAGCCTACACTCAGTGACACACTTCCTCCTATAAGGCCACACCAACCCCGATGTCCTAATCCTTTTAAATAACCCCACCCACTCCATATGAGCCTATGGAGATATTTTATTCAAGCCACCACAGTCCTGAAGGGTGGGTTGGGAATTTTCAGATAGATTCAGCAGGGAAAGATGCTCCTTGTCAAAAGATCAACCAGGGCGAGTACATGGGAATCCAAAAGAGCAGGAAGGGAGGAGGCAGGAGAATCCAGGGCCAAATCACAGCAATTTAGAGGTCAACCACGGCAGCCCAGGGGCAGATTGTCTTCATGTGATCTTTAGAGCCTGTCATATTCAGAAAAAGAGCCTGGAGAGAGAGAGAGAGAGAGAGAGAGAGAGAGAGAGAGAGAGAGAGAGAGAGAGAGAGAGAGAGAGAGAGAGAGAGAGAGAGAGAGAGGAGAGAGAGAGCAGAGGCTGGGTCAGTAGGAATGGCTACTGTCAGTAGAGTTCCTAATAGAGGCAAGATGGAAGCAAGTCACAGTGGCCTAGTGAGAGCCAGTGGAGACTAGCAGGCAGTTATGGTGATAGTCACAAAGCAGAAAAGCAAGGTGACCAATGAGCTACGGATGGTCAGGATGAAAGGAGTTGCTTTTCCTTCCTTGGCATTTAGTCCGTTCCCAACAAACAGGAAGGTTCCCAACAAACAGGAAGAGCTTTAGCCCCAGGGCTGCGGAGACCCTTGAAGCCATCAGCCAAGCACTGTAATACAGGTAGTGCTGTGCCAGCCTGCTATCCCCATTGGATAATGCTTGCTGGGGGGGGGGGGGTTAGTACACAGCTGCACTGAATTGTAATTCACATGCTCTGCTCACAGTCTGCAGGCTGCAGATGTCTTTCTTGTGAGCTCCCAACCTGCACCTTTCATAAACAAACACCAGGGTTGTCTTCCTGAGCAAAGGCAGAAGCAGCTACACCTGAAACCTAATCCCTCCTGTCTGCTTAACTCTATATAACCAGGCAGGAGAGAGAATTCCATCCTCTTGGGGCGGGACACACACACACACACACACACACACACACACACACACACACACACACACAAAGAAACCCCGAATGATGCGGGGGCGAGGTCACATCAAATATTTCCACATGCTCTAAGGGGCAAGCGAAGAGATGCAGATCTGAATGAGGCCAGTTGGCAGAATCGTTTTATGCAGTAGACCCTTAAGCTGTACAATGAGATCGTATGCATGCCAGGCACTCTTCCAAGCACTGTCCGTGAATAAACTCATGTCATTGTTACAGCAGCCCTATGGGATCACCGCCTTGGGCATCGGTGTTGTCTTTGAACCCATGCAGTCTGCTGCCAACCTGTGCCTTATGGTTTATTATAATTTTCTTTAAACAACCTGGCCTGAAGGCTCTGGCACTCCGTTTAGTAACTCAGGAACAGCTCCATTCATTTTTGAAAGGCATGCAAGTCTTCCAAAGGACGCCAGGGAGAAAAGATTATCGTAGGATGTTATTAAAAAGAACAGACCTTACCATTGTGGATAATGTCATAGCTGATCACACAGTTTCGAGGGTTTCCAGCCCCCAGGACAGCATGCTCATTCAGAGACAGTGTGGAGGGAAACTAACTCAGGGACAACACCAGAGAGAGAGAGAGAAACAAAAGCACCCGCACAAACAAAGCCACTGTTGGGCAGGGGGCTGGGAGGGTGTCCTCTGACTTACCAGGAGCTTTCTAGACCACTCAAGAAAGCCTGGGGCATATGAGTTCTGTCATGTCTTCAAGATGCAGCCTTGGCAAGTACATATCTTGTTGTTTCCTACCCAGAAGAGCTACCGTTATTATTATTTTTTATTTGTTTGTTGAGATCAGCCTGTGCCTTACTCCGAGTTGCTCTATAGTGTGTAAAGCAGTAGGTCTTCAGACTATGCCCCGGCCTAAGAGTCTCACCTCAGGGCGGGTGATGACTTTTGCAGCTGGGTGGACATTCGAATGGCATCCCGCCTGTCTGGTGCCGCACACAGTGGCACCGGCTGGTAAATTACCACTAATGTTGTAGAAAGGGTGCCACCCTATGGGTGGGTATATCAGGGTGACTTGGGGCAATAGGGAAACAAGGGCAAGTATATGTATATGTATGTCAGGGAAACCAGCCCCAAGAGCTTAGCAGACATTCCAGACCCAGGAAAGACTGTAATCCCCTCAGCTGCCCTCCTCCTCCTCAAAGGATAAAAAAAAAAAAAAGTAGGCACTTAGAACAGCAGAGACCATGGCTCCTACAGGCCTGTCAAGGTGGAGAGCTCCCAAGCTGCCCCAGGGCTTCAGCTTAGCTCATTCTCTCCTGGTGTGGCCTGCTGGATAGAACTGACTTCCTGTTCATCCACCTTCTGCCCCTCCTGAAGGACACAGCCCTGCCCGGTTGCCTTTTCCTTGCACTGAACTGCACAGCTCGACCCTGACCCTGCAGCCTGAATCCACCGCCAGCCAGAGCAGCCTCTCTGACTTGGTTTGGTTAGTCAGCTCACCACCATAGACCACATTTCCCTCAGCCTCCCGGTTTCTCAGAATCTTTGAAACCTCTAGAACCCCCTCCCTTTTAACCCTTTGTAGTCATCCTGCAAGCTACTGTTAATGTAAAAAAAAAAAAAAGAAAGGAAGGAAGAAGGAAGAAACAGCTCTCACCTCAAAAGGGATAAAAGATAATTTATTCTGGAGCCAAATGGATATGTTCACGTCTGAAAACACCGAGTGGGGCTACCCTAAATTCCATAATCGAATATGGACTTTTTTTAAAAGGTTCTTGAAATTTTTATTGTAGCAAAGCAAAAAAAAATCATAATCATAAATCCGAACACTTTTCAAATCCATGGCTGGAAACCCCAGGCAGTTGAGTCACAGCAAAGGGAGGGGGCATCGTCTCTCGGTCTCCGATACCCCAGATGACAGACACCTTAGCTTTGGGGTAGTGGAAGCCTGCGATCTGTTAAGGTAATGACGAGGACTGGAAGTGGCCACCTAAGTCACTTTACGGGCAAGAACCTTGAAAGTGAACAACTCCATTTTCGTCCTTGGCCAGAAGCAGGAAATGTCCTTGTCCCCAGCCCCTGAGGTCCAGCAGAGAGGTCTGGTTTCTTATCAATGTCAATGTGAGCACCTCTGCCTGGAAGCGACCTATGACCAAGACTCCAGTCTTGACACTCCAGCTGATGATCCCTTCTGGTCAACAGCTCTCAGATTAGGTTTCTGGATTTTCATGGTGAGAATGGATTACATCAATTCCTCAAAGACAACTCATCTCCTGAGTGGTTTTAGCATCTCTACCCATAGACACTGTTGAGGAATGGCCCCTTCCTGATAGAATATCTCTGCCCCTCAACAGAGACATGATGTTCTAATCTACTCCAAAGCTGGGAATCACCCAGGTCGAGGAGCCAGTGTGCTTAACCACTGAGCCATCTCTGCAGCCCACATATCTAGGCCACATTTTGTTTGGGCATTCATCCATGGCTACCCCCACCTTTCTTCTGTTGCAAATAATGGTGCAGTGAATGTAGATGGACAAATAGCCTTTCAAAACCACACTTTATAATTTTCTTACAAAATGTAGGAGGTCTCTTTCTCTTTAATATCCCATCAGTGTTTGGATGGGGTGGTGGCAGTTCAGCCCTCCGGTAGCATGATGATGAGGAACAGGACACAATTGCAGAGACACTGTGGCTTGGGACGCATTTGCAGACACACTGCAGCTTGGGCCCCACGGGCGTTCGTTTCTATAGTCATCCTGGGAGTTTGGAGCCAACAGTGAAGAGCATTCAGGTCAACAGTCAACCCTGACAGATGGAAGGGAAACCCGAGTCCTACTCCTGTGGGCGGAGACCTGAGGGGCAGGAAGACCCTGGAGCCTGTGGCAAAAGGCTCTGGAGAGCTCTGGCCACAGCATCTGAACTTTACCTCTCTTAGTTGCAGTCAGTGAAACTGCATCAAGCCAGTTGCTCTTGTCAGAAACCAGGCTGCTCTTAGCACTCCATCTGGCTCACTCTGCCTGTCCAAGTATGTCCTGATTATCCATTCCGCTACTGCACCTCAATTAAAGTCACCTCTCTCTCTCTCTCTCTCTCTCTCTCTCTCTCTCTCCCTCCCTCCCTCCCTCCCTCCCTCCTCCACCTCCGTCCCTCCCTCTGTCTCTCTTCTTCTCTCCCTCCTCTCCATCTCTCTCTCACACACACACACACACACACACACACACACACACACACACACACACCAAAACTACCACAGAGTCCTCACTGGAGTCCCCACCACGCTTCTACTTGCCTAACCCATTCTCACCACAGCCAGAGTGACTTTGGAAACATCCGTGGGTTTAGCGGGACCCACAAAAAGACATTGCACTTTGTATTCCATCTGCAGGGCCCTGCACGGCCTGACCCTTCTAGACCCTTCTAGACCCTGTCCAGTCATGTCTTATACGTGTAGCCCATCTCCCCCTTACCATCCCTCTTGCATGGACTTTGGTATGGTTCTTCTGTGCACACTATTCCTCTGCACCAGAAACGGCCAAAGCTCAGCTGCCCTCGGACGTAAATGACTCGTTCAGCGTAAGTTGGAGGTGCCCCTTGTCCTCACCACTAGAGTGTTAGCCACCTGAGGGCAGGACCACAGTGCGTTACTAGCTAGCCATTGTCTAGCCACCCACATGAAGACCTTTGTGCGTGTAAGCAACCTACAGATATTTAGCAACCCTGAATGGACTGATGAACAGGTAAATGAAGGAGATCACGGCACTGCTGAGGGCCTGGAAAGAGGCCCGGGGCACGTTTCTGTGACAGACCAGGCGCCCAAAGTTGGCCTTGTCCTACCTCCACAGCCAAGAAACCTGTGAACCTCTACACTGTCCATGACGGGGCTGTCCACACTATCCAGAGGTCACCCTTCTACAATGACATCATTCTCACTATCGGGGGATGGAATGTGGCCATCTGGAAGGAAGAAGTCATGGTAAGTTGCCTGCAGAACTGAGTGGGCGGGTGTGTCTTTGTCACTGAGAAAGGCATTGGGAACAATGGCTGTCCCAGCACATCATGCCTATGGGGCACTTCCCAGAGAAATGAGGACAGATGGTCTGGCTCCTGCTTGTCTTTGAAAACACAGCCATGTGGCCTTCTTTCTAGAGAGGGAGTGAACAGCACAGCAGGCCCTTGTTCCCTGGAACCTCATAGCGCCTTTTCCTCACGATATCTACTGCGCTCAGCTCACCCGACACACGGCTTGCCTCCTTGTAAAGCTGGGGCCCTGATGACCTGACGAAGTCCAGGGGATGGCTGCGCGTGTGTCCACTTTGCTCCCACACCAGCCGCATGTTGGCAGGTTCAGGAAGTTGGCATTTGTAGACCGAGGGCCCAGAGACCGCAGAGCACTGCTTGTCCAGACACATGTGTGCACTGGTAAGGTCGGGTCAGGGTTGAGAGACAGGCCCTGCCAGACAGGAGTCAGACTGCCAAGACAAACAAATAAAAAAAAAAATTAAATCCAGTGAAGCAGGGCGGGGCAAACCTGTTCTTTTTTTTTTTTTTTTTTTTTTTTTCAAACGAGAGAGACAGAGGCAGAGAACACATGTGTATCACGACTGGAATATACATGTTCTTTCACCAAATAACGCCCCCTTTGCATATTTAATTTATGCAAGTAATTTTAAAAGGAAATTTGTGATTTGTACACAGGGTGTCACTTTATAAAACTGAAAGCTACTTAAATCACCACCACTAAACTTTCTATTAATAAATATGGGCTTTATTTGTCTTGTTGTTGTTTGCTTTTACAATGAGGAAGTTTTTCCAGTTAGAAAAAGAAAATTGTGGCATGATTTTCAGAAGACTGGCAGGAACTAAAGAACAGGTCACCCACCGAGACCAAAGGCTGAGAGAGAGAGTGGAGATGCAAAGGCCTGGAGGCACCGAGTGGCCAGGCCTGGGCAGCCTTCTCCCCACCCCACGCTACAGGGTTCCCTGTGCAGGGCTGTGGACTTGTGAGAGGCAATCCCATGCCTTGCTTTAGCCACTGGAAATATAAGGGACACTTGGATGTAGTAGCTCATGGGTAGATGGAGAAGACAGTAGAAGGCATGTCCAATCACAGCTTTGCCAAGTTAGCACATCATCTCATGGTGGAGAGGAGATGCCGAAGGTGTGCGGGCTCTGCTGGGATTGGATTGACAGCTGCCTTCGTGACTTTTGTGTAGCTGTGACGAAAGCACCTTAATAATAGCTTAAGGCAGGAAGGGTGTTTTCTGTTTCCTGACTGACCCGTGCGTGGTTGTGCAGCTCGTGCAGCTCAGTTGACCCTGGTCCCAGGCTGAAGCAGCAGCAGGCAGAAGGAGCTGCTCACAGGAAGTAGAGGCGCAGGACCAGGATCAGGTGTAGGCAAAGGCATGACCTTCCTCCAGCTGGGCCCCAAGAAATTCAGCAGCTGGGCCCCAAGAAATTCAGCAGCTGGGAACCAAGCATTCGCCACATGAGTCTGTGCGGGATGCAGACGAAAACCTTAACACTCACCTTTCTGTTTGCTACTTATGGACACCATACCGGGACTCAGGCAGCAAGAAAAAGTTAGAGGAGAAACTTCTTACACTTACACTCTCCTTATGCCTGCTGTCCACAGAACCTCATAGAAATAGCAATCCTGAGCCCTGAGTTTAGTTGTTGACGCACACCTTTAATCCCAGCACTCGGGAGGTAGACGCAGGCGGATCTTTGTGAGTTCCAGGCCAGCCTGGTCTACAGAGCTAGTTCCAGGACAGGCTCCAAAGCAATACAGTGAAACCCTGTCTCAAAAAGCCAAAAAAAGAAAAAAAGAAAGAAAAGAAAAAGAGAAAGACAGAGAAAGAAATAGCAATCCATTCCATTAAGAGGCAACTGGGTTATCAGGACTTTCTGAAGCCAAACTGGAAGGTTCAATCTTTCAGTCTTTCCTAAAAAGAGACTAAAACATGAAAGAAAAAAGAGGTTACTTATAAAAATAAACGGGAGAGAAAATAACTTGTCCAATGTAAAAAACCCACAACATTGCTGGCAAGACGGCTCAGTGGGTAGAGAGTAGAGAAGGGACTCTACACAGGTGTCCGTGGGCGTCCACCCGAGCCTTGTGGCATGTGGCATGCACCACTCTCTGTCATCTGTGTCTGTCTGTCTGCCTGTCCCATTAAAAAATAAATAAAAATAAAACCCAAAAACAAAAGGAAGTAAGAATTCCCAGGGGGTTAAACTTAGGGTTAAGTAATCTTGGCCAGCTGATGTGTACTTAAAAAATTAATCCTTGTGAATCTCCCTTGAGTCACAGCAAACGTTCTCAACGTGCCTTTTAAACTTGTGTTTAGACTGGACCGCTGCTTCAGACATGCTGCGCACCAAAAAGGTACACGGCAGGGCACTGGTCCCTGACAAGGCCCGGAGTATTCTACATCGGCCGAGAGGATGGATACGTCGACATCTGGGACCTCCTGGAGAAAACTCATGAACCAGCCCAGTCTCAGAACATCTGCATCACCATGATCACCTACATCAAACCCTGGACCTTCTCCTGTACGTTCATTCCAACCCATGGAGCACCTGTTGCCTGTTGCATATGGAGGCGCTAGATGGCTCTGACTTTTACTAGAAAAGCCCCTACCCCGTCCCACACACCCCACCGGTCCTTCCGGTCCTCCTGCCCCTCTTCCTGTCTTCCTTTCCCTCCCTCCCTTCTGTTCTCCACTCTTGCCTGTGTTTCTCCAACAACATTCCCGTCTTTCTCTCCGTCTTACTCTGAAACTCTGGGAGCCCCAAAGCTTCCCTCGCTGTTTGGGCTCAGCAGCAGCAACTTCTCAGACGTCAGCTAAGGTCGGGTGGAGGCCTATCTTGAACCACAGAATGGAAAGCTTCCATCTCAGCCCAACTGAGCTGCCCTAAAGTTTTGCTGCTGGTTTGCTATTTCTTTTCCAGAAATGTTGAGTTATGTTTCTTGGTCAACTTTCCAAATGTTATGTACTTTAGTGATGCTTCCAATGACCGTGTCAAGCAAGTCCCTTCATGGGAGCACACGATTCTCTAGGGTTACATAAGCCTTCGTATCTGGTTTATGTATGAGTAAACAGCAGTATACTACCACAGAAGCATAAATTCTGCATAAATAGAAAAGTGATTTATTTCCTTTGGATTTTTTTTTTATGATTTTCAATTTGTTTTTTGTTTGGCTCAAATAATATTTTCTGTGTAACTCCAGTAAGCCTGTCTTTACTGGAAGAACTTTCCCTTTGTTTCCAAAAGTCTATAGGCACAAGATTGTCTCTAGGCTTTCTTTCCTAGAAACACCCCACCCCAAGACTCAGGCTTCAGGATTTCTAGACAGTCTTAGTCTGGTTTCCAGTTAGCCATGAGGCACGGCCAAAGCATGTTTGTTTTCCTAGCCTGGGAACAGAGCTTTGTACCTGCAGGGTTTTAGTGTAGGACTCAGCAATTTGAACCAAACCTCCTAAAAAGGGGAAGGGAGCACAGAGACAGAGAATTAGCATGCTCACACACATTGTCTTGTCATAGGAAAACCACGGTTTGGGCTGTGTTTGGGAAAGTCAGCTTTTGGTGTGTTGGCTGAAATGGGCTTCATGGATCAGAACCCTGTGCTATCCCTGCTCTCCTAAGGCCACGGAGAAAATGAGCTATCAGCTCCTGTCCTTATACAGACACCGGAAGAGAGAGATTTGGGGTTGGGGAGGCTGACAAAGACTCGGAGTTTTAGCTTTCATCTCATCAACTGGAAAACACGACTTGCCCGTGTTTGCATAGTCCAGTCGTGAGCACACGATGGAGTTGCCAGGAGCTTGGCAGCCACAGCAGGTCCTTCGGGAAACCACAAACAACCCGACTTTTGTGTTCAACCTCTTTAGATGACTTTCTGTTTGCAGAATTACCACCACCCCCCGCCATTTTTTTTTTTTACCTTTCAGCTAAGCAGCAGTTCATAGCCATAGCTGATTACTACGGAACACTGCATATCTTGGAAATCCCTTGGACATTAAGCCACCCTTCCTTTAACGAGGTTAGTAGTCTCGGCTTTGCCGTAGCACACTCGTGGAAGTCAGGGAACAACTTGCAGGGGTTGGGTTCTCTCCTTCTACCACGTGGGTAGCAGGGATTGAACTCAGGTCAGCAAACTTGGCAGCAATCACCTTACCTGCCAAACCATCTCGCCAACCTTTGGGGGCATACGTTAAAAGTGTGTTTAAAATGTTGGCACTTCTGTTTTACAAGAGAATGAGAAACTTGTGCCATTTTAAATAATAAGAGAATATGTTATCGTATGAATTAGATAGCTTGAAGCTAAGGAAACTAATCAAACCTGAGATGGGAAAGAAGTCGAATGAATGAAGTGCAATCTGGGAAAGTCATTATTTTCAGACTGTAACTGAGTTTTAGCTCTGTCTCTACAGTGTCATCCTCCCCTTCTGTTGTTCACATCTCTCCATCACCCTTCCTAACCTCTGCATGTTGCTGGCCCTGCTTCCGAACCGCAATGCTCTGCCCCCTCCAACCCTTATGCTCACCACCGAAGTGTTGCAACCAATACTAAGAATGAAGGCATAAAAGGATTGATGAATGAAAAACATAAGTATATATGCACTCACATTAATTATACAGGTTGCAGCCTATGAGTCCCAGCATCAGGCTAGTTCCTAACAGGTACCATGCTTGTGCAGATTGCCTTTCCCAAGAGAGGTCTCGGTTGCATCCCTGCCAATGCCCATAAGCCTGCATGCTAAGCCCTCTGGGGGGGCTGGGAATTCAGCTCTGCTTCTAATCCCTTTAAAATCTCCATAGAGGGCTGGAGAGATGGCTCAACCATTAAAGGCTGGGCTCACAATCAGAAATAGAAAGTCTCCATAGCTATCATCTGAGTTTACTGAGTTCAACTGAGGGCATGCAACTTCAGTCTCCAAAGTAAGAAGAAAGAAAAGAGGAGACAGCAAATTCCTAAATCTCTCTACTATACCAACTGAAAGATTTTGCAGCTCTCTCCTTCCAACCATAATGGCGAACCTGCAAGTCACAGGGGCCTGAGTGTAATAAGCACAGGAGCATGCACATGGAGCTAGCTTCCCCGGCCTGCAGGCACACCTCCAATTCACACCTGCCTAAAGGACGAGAAGCATTCTATGGTGGTTCTTCTGCTCATGTGGTTAAGAGAGTGGTTGTGAGGTCCTGGTCAGTTGGAGCTGGGAGATGCGGTGGGAAAATCCCAACCACAGAGCAGCAGGCATTCTAACAGAGCCTTGGGCGTCCCTGTGTGGTTAAGCTCATCACCTACCTTTGCTTCTGGTAGGTATCGAGTGTGAACTACTACTTTGAAAGAGAAGTCAGGCATCTGGAATATGTCCAGCAGCGCAAGATTGTCCGTGACCAAGAAAAGAGAGAAATAGCCCTGGAAATGGCAAAGAAGAAAACTGTGAGTGAGATTTCGAGAAGGAGACATGTCTCCTCCTCCTCCCAGTGGGAAAGAGTCACTCGGCTCACCCCACTGAGTCCTGTGTGCTCTGTGGCTCTCTGCTTTTCCCTAGGAGACTCCAGTGGGCATTTCTCTGATTGCCTAGACCACCATAAGTGACAGCTATCTGTTGAGCATATAGTGGGACCCTATCCCACGTTTATCTGTTATTGCATGTGAGTGGGTTCGGGTGGTAAGTCTGTACACAACTCACACCTATCTGGAGGTCAGAGGACAATTTATGAGAGTCAATTGTGTGTCATGAAAGTCTCAAGGAAGGAGCTCACATCATCAGGCACTCTGCCCAGCCAGCCAGCTCACCATCCCTGACACACAGTGAGATTCTGCCCAAGCCATCTTTCTGTAATTTCCTATAGTTCCAAAGTCCTTTCCTGGAGATACAAGGTCCACAGGTAAGTGCTTTCATTACATAGAATTTCTATGTCTGGGGAGCGTTGCATCAAAACAGGCCATACAAAAGTCAAGGCGTGAGCTGGCCCCCAACTTGGCTGAGCTTTGGCTGTCTTGTCTAGAAATCACTAGAAATCACTACCTCTGGTGATTGCTGGAAGGCTTTCCACTAAATAACATGACCACCCGCACCAAATGGTTGTTACACTAACTATGGAAGCAGAGAGATGCTTTCCACTAAATAACATGACCACCCACACCAAATGGTTGTTACACTAACTATGGAAGCAGAGAGATGCTTTCCACTAAATAACATGACCACCCACACCAAATGGTTGTTACACTAACTATGGAAGCAGAGAGATGCTTTCCACTAAATAACATGACCACCCGCACCAAATGGTTGTTACACTAACTATGGAAGCAGAGAGATGAGAGAGAGGTGTTTTTTATCACACCATGATGGGTAGTGCTGTGATCTCTGAAACAGAAGAGGAGAACATGCCCATCTTCCACACAGCCGGACAGAGGAATGTGACACTCTGCAGGCCCACTCTCCTCCTCCTCGGCCCTTCCCTGAGGGACAGGAGTTCTAGGGCTGGTTTTCTGTCATACACCAGAATTGGGGATTACATGCGCTATAAACTGCTCTTCTCCTGTTCCCACTGGAGTCACCTGGGTCTGTAACCGTGTCTCCTGGTGGCTTGTCTCCTCCCTTGCCTCTTTGTCACCACAGTTTCCCAATGACCCCACCCTCTTCACAGCCAAGCATATAGCTTCCTCCAAAGTCAATTTCTAGGTGAGAACCCAGGTCCCTAAGAAAAGCAATAGCAAGAGGCTACTTCAAAGATGTGCATGCATCACTCACTGACAGCCACGCAGTCATACAATCAAAGCGGAGGGCTGGCTCATTTCAAAGAACACCCTTGGTTGCGACAACATACAGTGATCCCAGCAAACTGACCTCCTGTCTGGTCCCACTGGCACAAATGAATTGGTGGAAGTTTTGTTTGTTTGTTTGTTGTTGTTGTTGTTTGGGGGGTTTTGCACACTCACAAACACCGGCTTAAGTGCTTCAGTGTGAGGCACTGTGTCACTCTCCACATCAGCAGTTTATCCACCGCTACAAATCTAAGTACCAAGCAGGTCTGCAAGCCAGCACCCTGCCTCCAGTCCGCATGAGGAAATGCAGAGAGAGGAGTCTGCTTGTCTGCAGCAGGCTCTACAGCCACAGTTCCCACCCCTTCCACAGGGTCACCTAAGGCCACTGGGAGACGTAGACATTCACAGTGCAATGCATAACCTTAGCAACACTACAGTTATGAGGTAGCAACAAAGATAATTTTATAGTTGGGGGGGGTGGCCCTCACCACAGCATGAGGAACTGTATTAAAGGATCGCAGAATCAGGAAGGTTGAGGACCGCTTCTAGGGCAGGCCGCCCCCCACTCCCCAACTTCCCCAGCACGTCAGACTGCCCTCTGGTCCACCTGTTCTACACTCCCACAAACGCCTTCCAGAGAGAAGCCAGCTGTCCTTAAACCAGCTCCTTGTCCTTCCCCTTGGGTTTTCAAGCTATCTGTGATTTATAGTGCTTGTCTCCACCTAGAGAGTCTATAATAAGACAAAAGAGCAGATGGAGGCTGAAATGAAGTTGGAATATGACAGCTACTTGGAGCTCGAGAAAGCCGTCCTCTTCAATCTCGGCATAGTCAAGGTCTCGGATAAGGTGTCATACTTGGATATGATATAGCAAAGATTCTGGAAGATGGTTCCTGGAGTGACTCTCTTGATCTCCCCTCTTTTTTATCAATTGTGTTTTATCCAAGGTTTTATATATATATATACTGATCCACATATATAGGTTTATTTGTAAATTCAGGCTTTTATTTCACTGGCATTAAACCAATTAAATTCTGTCATGTTTATCTCAATCTCATGCTGAGCTTTATTGAACTGTGTGCAGAATGTGGTCCTTTTTAATAAGAACATCTTTATTTTCCTATAGTGGTATTACCCAGCTTCAGACTGCCCCCCGCCCCCCAGGCCTGGTCATGCAGAAGCCCTAATTCCAGACAGAAACAGAAACCAGACTGCGTTTCTCCCCAACACATTACTTTTGGTCCACCTCTCCAAAAGAAATGTGTTCCCCCAAGCCAGAGAACAGATGGTAGGTGTTATAGTTTAAAAACCACCTCAAAGAGAAGTCATACCACACAACAGGTCTCACATAGGCAGTTCATTAGAATTGGAGAGAGAAGGGGCAGACGACGGGGGGGGGGGGGGCGGCGCAGAGATGGACGGGTCCCTAAGAACAAGAGTGGTGGAAGAGAAAGAGAGAGAGAGAGAAAAAGAGAGAGAAAGAAGGGAGGGGGAGGGGAGGGGCCCTTTTTAAAAGGAACACAGTGAATGTGCACATGTGGTGCTCTCAGTGGCTGCAGCTGAGGGCGTATCCTGTCAGGACCCCAAGGGCAGGCCAGCACAGACGCCTGAAAACTAACAGTAGGGCCATGTTGTAAACACAGTATTAGCCAACTGAATCCAGAAATGTATTTTTAGAAGGATAACATGGGAAGAGCCGGGTGGATGTATCCAGGAAAACAAAGATTGATTTAACAGTAGAAAAAAAGAGTCAAAGATTGACTGAACAGAGGAATTGTAATGCTGGTACGCACAGAAAACATTTGCTAAAAATGCAACATTCATGGCACCAGCCCATTCTTAGCAACTACAGAGAAGACCTTCTTTACCCAGTGAAGGGCATCAGAACGCACCCTTGCGGCAGCTGTCTTACAGTGACTTTTCTATTGATGCGATGAGACGCCACAACCAAGGCAGCTTATTGAAAGAGCACATTTAATTTGGGGCTCGCAGCTTGAGGGGGTTAGAGTCTGCGACCACCACGCCAGGGAGCATGGCAGCTGGCACTGGAGCAGTAGCTGAGAGCCCCTCTTGAGACACAGCCATGAGGATACAGAGTTCCAACAGAGCCACACCTCGTGATCCTCCGCAAGCAGTTCCAGCAACCAGGGACCCAGTGATACAAGCAGAAGAGCCTAGTAAGCCATTCTCCTTAGAGGCACTACAAGGGTAAAGCTTTCCTCCAAGGTGTGGACGGCACCCCACTCATTTAACTAGTGCAGGTACGTGCACTGCAGGAAAGCGTGGAATCCCAAGGTGATGCTCCCGTCACCCTGCCCAAGGAGGGTGTGGGGGGATTAACAGAAGGGCTAAGCCGGAAGGATCCGATCCGCTTTCCTTTAGGAAGATAAGGAATGGATTAGAGAGGAGAGCCACCTAGCCAGAAACCCTCTTAGGAGGTGGTGATGATAGTTGAAGGTGAAAGACTAGAAGGCCTTGGATGTAAAACGTTGTGTTAAGACAGAACTGAGAGGCTCACAGAGTGGGAAGGGAAGACACAGAGGGGCCATAGGTTATAACTCAGGTTAATGGAGGGAAGGAGACTGTCAAGTCAGCCAGAGACGGGCGCTTACCCGCCTGCGTGCCCTTGGACAGATGACGGAGCTCTGTGAGAGCATCATCCAACCAGCTGGAAGCCACATATTTGTCAGCATACGGGGTTTGGAGTTTATTGTTGTTTAGAACAGCAAATCACCTGCCTGGTCTTGAACTCTCAACCAGCCTGCCTAGAACTTCATCCAGGGAGCTTGAACTGCTCAGTGAGTGTGCCTGTCAAGCACTTCACCGGGAGGTGACATAGATCTGGGAAAGATCTGTACCTGTGGAGGGAGAGGGGAGAGGATGTAATACAGACAGACAGACTGCACCTCAGTCACCCTAGCATCATCTCAGTTACACACTGTTCCTCCCTTGGACGCCCCCACGGCACAAGAACTCAGGCAAGCTCAGCAGTGCAATGAGCTCTCTCCGAGGCTCTTGGATCCCACCAGCTGACACCCCTTTCTCTGGCTCAGACCCTTCATTTAGCAGGTGACAGATCTGCTGAACCCCAGCAAAGAACGCAGTTGGGCTGATAAAGCTCTAAGTAGGCACTGCAAACGTAGAGACAGCTTGTGTGCAAGAGATGGAGCTAAGTGATGCTCCTCCCCAGAGTCCCCAGAGTCCTGCCTCTGTCCCTGCTGTTGGTTCCTCCCCCGCCCCCGCCCCCCACCCCTCCTCCTGTATTGTAAATCACAATCACAATCTTTTTCTGTCCTCCCTGCCTTACAGTGCTCTACATCCTAGCAGACCTGAACTTGTCACCTTAGACAAGCTGAATTGTTCCCTAATCTTAGTTAAAGGGAAATTCTCGTACACCCCGTCTCCTCCCTCCCTCCCTCCCTCCCTCCCTCCCTGCAAGCTCTTTGTGTGTACACGTGTGGTGTGGGGGAGGGGTGCATACTCACACTGTGTGTGTACATCTGCATGTCCATTTGTTCACATGGAGTCTAGAACATCAGGTGTGCTGTTCTATCACTCTTTACCTTATCTAGCTTTCTTCATTCCTTTCTTCCTTTCTTTTCCAGAACATAACACATTACTCAGTAACTAGTCACCCAATATGTGGTTATTAGATTAAATGTTATTATCATTCAGCTTTACAAATTGCTTTCCGCTCACCAAGAAGTGTGTAATTAAGCCAGGATATTTTCAGGCCCACAGATAAGCACATCATTTGCGTGCACTTTGGATGAAAAGGCAATTAGCCCCCGAGGACTGTGGCCATGTCCTTTGCAGGTCTGCAAACCCACAAATGTAGTGAATAATTAACAGTTCCCTGTGCCCTTCTGCCCCTGAGCACGGGCAGCAGTAGGTGACATTCTGCCCTGTTGCTAGGCTGCCAATGCCAGGGCAGTTACTAGGTAACTGAGCTGGGTCCCCATCAGGAAACTGAATCTCAGTGAAGGGCAGAGTAAAGCCTGTCTGGTGAATTTGCTTCACGCATGGCTGCTGAGCCGTTTTGAGGACCAGTGGGCAGAATCAGCCTGGGCATTCGACTGAGGAAGAGACAGCAAAGTGCCAGTACAGTTGTTTCAAATGTCATCTCATTAACGGACATGACTTGAGTACTGACAAGTAATGTGTGTGTTTGTGTGCTTTATAAAAATAAAATGTTGCTGGGCATGGTAGGGGTTGTTTGCAATGCCAGCACCCAGGAGGCAAAGACAGACTTGATGTAAGTTTGAGTTCAACCTGTTTTACACAATGTGACTCTGTCTCAAATATATATGTATTATTTCTTAGGTGCACACACACACACCCTAAGATTTAAATCAGAAAAGAGGCTGTGTTCTTCCTAGCGAGAACTCAGAGAGAGACAATTGGGAAGAGGAGGAGGAGATGGAGGGGGAAGGGGAGGTGGTGACCGCCTCTTGGACACGAGGCAAAGGAATGGCTACATGAGCTACTGCAGCTCGAGGCAGCTAGAATGGGCACATGGCCACCTGTGCATCAGCACAGAAATATCTGTCTAGCGAGGAGAGGAGATGCCCAACTGTTTGAGGTTTGGGAAATCAGCCGGGTACCTCACAGCAGCAACTGCTATGGAGTGCTTCGAAAACCTGTGTTGTTTTTGGCTGCTCACACACAGCCCATTGTTTCTGGCTCCTGCTCTTCTTGTAGGAGGTCCCCACATTTTGGTCAGTCTAGGGGGAAGCAATAGGAGCAGCTATGAGGGGGTGGCTTCCTGCGCTTTTCCTGTTTCCTTACACGGGAGGAAACCCTAAACCTCAGGGCAGGAAACCATTGCCTCCCACTTCAGCTCCCTCGTTTGCATACCCAAAGTCAAAGCTGACTGATCTAAGCGAACAGACGGGAGCAGTTGGTGTTGTCTACACTGCCCCACAGCCAGCAAATCGTGTTGGTTCGTCTTTGTTTTGTTTTCATCGCCATTTTCTTTTTTTTTTTTTTTTTTTTTTTTTTTTTTTGTTGGTTGGTTTTTGGTTTTTAAAGACAGGATTTCTTTGTATAGCCCTAGCTGTCCAGGAACTCAGTCTGTAGACCAGGGTGGCCTTGACTTCACAATGACCCACCTGCCTCTGCCTCCCGAGTACTTGAATTACATGCATGGGCTGTTTGAGAATACTTGTACACTGTGTGAAGACCTGTTGTTGTGATTGGTGTAATAAAAAGCTAGACAGCCAATAGCTAGGCAGGGGAGGGTAGGTGGGGTTTCCAGGGAGGAGAAGAGGAAGAATCCAGCCGGCAGACTTCCCAGCAGACTTGGAGCCAAGCTTCCATAATTAATAATAAGTGTCCAGGTCACTATTTGTGAGCTGGTAGCCCAAAGAAAAATCTGACTACCGTGTGTACCGCCACTACCCACTGTGTGCATTTTTTAAAGATTAGTTTTATTGTGTGTATATGTATATGTGCGCACATACAGTACACTCAGAGGCCATGAAGTCTGATGGGGTCCTCTGGAGCTCCAGTTATAGGAGATGCTGAACCATACCATGTGACTCCTAAAAACTGACCTCCTTGGTCCTCTGAAGGAGCACTGGCCATCTCTGTAGCCCTGGTGGAGGGATTTATAGAGCCAATAGGCTTTTGCACTAAGCCTGCCAATGAATGGGCAGAAGAATGGAGAAGGCCATCCGGGGAGGGTTCTCAGCATCTTCCTTCCGTACCTTCATCCGTTGGCGGTGTTTCAGCCTGTGCATATCTAACTCATGCCTTAGTTCTAACCTTAGGAGGGAAAGTAGGTGTTATGTGTCTCCAACCACCTTCTGTTAAAGCAGATGTTAACGCATAGGAAGATTTGCTGGGGCACCATTAAAGTGTTAAACACTGAAAGGTAAAATGCGGAGCGGGCAGCCACACTTGAGGAACTCCTGTGGCAGACATCCAGGCAGTGAGGACTGGGCTTCAGGTGTTTCTACCAGCA